ACCCCAGAGCAGGAAGGGTATATGAAAGAGCAAGGAACGGTTTCTGAGCATTTCAGCAAATCCATGTGCAGATGCATATGTGTGTGTACGGATTTCATTAAGCCCACAAGCAACGGGAGAGGCAAAGCTGAGGCCAAGTCGGGTGCAGCCACTCAAGTCTCCCGGCAGGCACCTCAACGAGCTAACAAAGTGCAGGTGAAAGATCCTCAAGAGAGCGTTGGCAAACGAAACCAAGAGAGAGGCAGAGATAGACCAAGATAGAGAGATTGGTACAGCTGGGACAGCTCTCAAGAGTGTTTGTTTCTATGGTAGCATTTGTGTGGGTGGGCAATGCATGCAGCGGTTTGCTTCTGTAATATTTAAGTAAAATATTTTGCCGAGTAACATTTTTCTAAGACGTAAGTAGGTCATCTATCCTGGTGCTCTCCTCCGCCTCCCTTGATATGCACTCAAAAATGCAATTTATTTGAAGGATTCAAAAGAGAGGCGAAAATATAGAAGAGATAGAAGCTTTTATCACTCTAAAAAAAAAAACGCTGACTTCGGCGTAAACACAATTCTCTTTAGGCAAATCAAATTAAAATCAATTAAAATTAACAAGCAGAGCAGCCGGCAGAAACAGACGACCCCACATCGCACCTCACCCTAACCCACCCCACTGTGACACCCCACCCCATAGTACCCAACCTAACCGCAGCAAAGCGAAAGCAGCGAAGTCAACGCCAGCGTCGACTGCGCTGCGACATGCCAAGCACATGAATCATGCAATTTTTGGGCACTTCTTCTTGCTCTTCTTCGTGTTTGTTGCTGGCGGCTCTTCTTCTGTTTCTTCTTCACTTCGTTGTTGTTGTTGTTGCTGTTGCTGCTTATGCGGTAAAGGTGCGGCAATGAGCAAATTGAGACGTAGTGAAAATTCGTTGATAAGCGCAGACTTTAAGGCAGCCAAAGGCCCCCCACTCGACTTGCAGAGAGGTGGAGTGACACAGTCAAGAAAAAAAACCCGAGTGCTAGCGAGAGAAAGATACATACATATATGAGAGTTCAGGTGAAGCACTCAATTGTTTGCAAATATTTACAGGCACCTTATCGGCACGTATACTCGTACGAGTGTAGCCAAGACAAAGTCAAGCACTGTTTTGGTGCTTATCGATCGGCTACAGTGGTCCCTCAGAAGTTAAAGCACCTCTATTCCAAAGATTTTGACCATTACCTACCTACATGAAAAACTCGAGTTCTTAGCTGTAATTCTGAGCATTCGGACAGTCAAGCTTATCATGTTTGTTAATTCATCTTAGCGGGACATATTTTGTTCAAAGTACGAGTTACTTCATGTCTTCTGTACCTAATTTTCCTGTACTGATATGCGAATGACCACTGTGTAGGCTTTTGTTTGCAGTGAGTACGAGAGGAAGAGAGTAAGAGGGCGGCAGTTGACTCACCGCATCGCTTATAACGGGCCCACTCACTCATTTATCGCTGCCCAAGTCAGCAGAAGTCTCGCCCACACACACACACACAGGCACACACAGCTCTCCATAAGCTCAAGCAAACATGGACAGGAAAAGGTGTCGATCGAACGATTCTCTCTGGCTAATGGCCTAATGGCTGAAATGAGAAATTAATTAAGAACGTGTTGCATGCTTGGCCAACCGCTGGGCGCCATCTAGCGGCCCAGCTCAAGCGTAACCGTTTGTCTAGCCAAAAAAAAAACAAAAAACAACACCAACAACAAGTAAAGTACTTTTCGGACACACTCAATTTTCACTGCTCTGGTCTGTATCTGTCATTCAACTCCACACCAGCCCCTCCGCACCCATCACACACTCTTTCCGCTGAAGGCAAGTTGAAAATTGTGTTAGAAACATTTTCTGTTGCAAGTTTTTCTTGTGTTGTTTTTCAATTTCTCTTTTTTGGCACAAGGTTAGCAAAGAAGAAGACCCAAGACGGGAAGAAGCAGCCACAGAAGCAAGAGCAGAAATGCCAAAGTTTATGCTGTCGGCAGTATTTTTGTTGTTTCGCTCACTCTGCTGCTAATGTTGCTGTTGCTGTTTGTGCTGCTGTTTCTGTTTCTGTGGCTCACATTGTTGTGGTGTGGCCCAAAGTGCAATGAAATGAATACGAAAGATTGAAATTGCACGCTGTGCGGAGCATAACAAAGTTCCCCATTTACAGCTGCCAACTGAAACATAAGTACCGGCCAAACGACACAGCAGTATCATTGCCGTTGCAATGATAGGTGCTATGTTTTATAGAAGCTTTGTCTAAGGTTTTAGTTCTCAGTTAAATGATATTCTAACAGAATGAGTAAAATGTATGAACCCCAAAGTTCTCACACCCAAATCTAATCAATCAATCAATTTCCATTACCTACGATACTCAATGTATGGACGAAACGCTCAAGTACTGCCTTAGTTTAGACAGTACTTAATGAACATAAGAGAAGAAATCTCAAGCAGAGATGAGCGCACGCTGAAAGCCCAGGAACGTCACAAAGCATCAGAGCAGAAGAGTGCGAAGAAGTAGAGAGTGAGTTGGCAAGGGTGAGACGCGCTCAGCTGAGCAAATGACGCTTTTAAAGCGCGACTTGAAGCGTAGGCGACTTTGACAGCCAGCTGCTGAGACTCTCTGCTGCTCACGTCATAGTTGGTGGTACAGCTCTTTCATATATGTACATACATACATACAAACATGCACACATTTTGCGTGTTGGTGTTTGTCTTTGGATGTCTTTGCAATGCTTTGACTATACAAATTTTTGTGTGGTCTCCGCTACTGCTGGCGCTGGCTTTGTGTGGGTGGCGCTTACAAGGCTGCTGGCTGCTGCTGCACATTCACAATGGACGTTCGCCACAGAGGCAGCGACAGAACGCAGCTGTTGCTTTTGTTTGGGCCAACAAATGTTTTTTAGAATTGCTCACAGCTCGCTCTCCGCCTCATCATGTGGGCGTTGCAGCTCCAATTGAAAAGAAACCCCGCACCGCTCAGGGAACAACCTTCCGAAGGGCAAACAATTACACCAAAGCATATCGCAAAAAAGCAGAAAAAAATTCAACAAGAAAAAATGCTGTTTTGAGTGCCGACTAATTTGATACCCTATTCAATTGACCGTTTATCTGGCGCTAATACATACATATGTATGTACATATGTACATATGTGTATATATAAGATACTATCCTTTTCATCTGATTTTATTAAATTTTGATTAGATATAAAGAAACACAAAAGATTATAGCTACTGCGTACAAAGTTCCTCCTTATGTGCGTAGTCATAATCATTGCATTCTCGGCAAGGGTATATTAGAAAAAGCTTTTCAGCAAATGCAAATTGCCGACGCAGCGCAGGCAGCAAAGGCAGACAATAAATAACTACGAGAGCGACGGCTGTGACGTTAAGTAGCTTAGTGTAAGGCAGAAAGCAATAGCAACAACCACAACTAAATATTACCGCGCTGTTGACTTCTCGAAACTAATTGCAGGCAAATGGACAAGCATAAATTCGTCTTATTGCCCAGACCCAGACCCCCGCGCTGGCACAAGTCGTGCCAAAAAAAAAAAAAAAAAAAAAAAACTATCCACTGCAATACAACAACAACAAAAGAGTGTAAGGTGGGTTGCGGTAGCCGAAGCTTCAGATACCCTGCATCTGGAATTGCACACAGAAAATCGTGACACAACTTTCATACGATTCGCGGAGATATAAGTTCATAAGTTTGTAGAAGTTCAGAGGTCGAAGGGTACTTTACCATTCCAGGGTACGGATGTGCGGTTAAATTGTGTAGCCTGCGTTTTGTTGTTGCCGTGCAAAAATGTACATACATAACATTATTGTTATTATTGTTGTTCATTAACGTCAACACTGCCACGCTCAAGTCGTTTGTATGCATGTGGCTTTGTATATGTACTGGCCGTTTTGGTTGGGTCAAAATATTTTTGGTATAATGAAATGAAATGAACGAAAAGTGGAAGTGGAAGCAGAAGAGAAAAATTTCGGCGGGTGCCTACGATATGCGAATACTCTTCAATAATCATAATTGTAATTCTGATTAAAAGGTTATTTGCATTATTTAATTTGTAAACCGTAATTAACGTAATTAATAAAGATCAAATGTGGTCACACTAAATAAATCACGTACGGTCTCAAAAGAGAAGAAAATGTTAACGGAACCTTGAAATTGTTTGTGTTCGTAGACAGCGAGAAATAAGATCTCAACAGAGAGAGAGAGAGAGGGAGAGAGAGAGATAGAGAGAGAGAGAGCGCGAGCGAGCTGCTAAGACGAGAGTGGGCGATAAAAATGTCTGTTTTATGCTTTTTGGCCAACAAATTTTCGCCTTTAAAAATTTCCACATAAAAACCGCTTTTGTATGGTTGACGGAGAAGCGCAGCTGCAGCTGCTATTGCTGTTGCTGCCCTGCCTGAGCAAGCAGTGCGGGAGTTCATCGTGCCATCTTTCATCTCGCTTTTTTTTTTTGCGGAATTTCGATTTGATTTATGGCCACATGTGGGGAAGCGGGACGGAGACATTAATCAGTGGGACTGAGAGTCGTGCAACTGGTTACGCACAAAAATCAAAATCAGAAATTAATTTAGTAATCTCATTCATAAATAAAACAAACAAAAAGCACAAAGCAGAACGGCAAGAAAATGCTGGCCAAAGCGGAGAGCGCAATTATCTAGGAATTCCAATACGAATGAAGAGCGATCGACCAGAAGCCCCGGCCGCTTCTTACTTTCGCTTTCTTTTGCAGAGTTGTGCTACAGCCAAAACAACAAAGGGGGGCGCCAAAGAAACACCGAAATTATGTAATCTCTCGTTTCTTGCTTGATACTTAAATAATAATAACAGTTAATGCCAAAAAAAGTGTAACAAGCACCCACGCACACACTCACAGGCATTGCTACCGCTAATTTGCCGTCTGATTGGGGAGGTGCGGCTTCCACACACATACACACATGCACATGGGTATACCCACGCACACCCACAATTACTCACGCACTTACCTTATATTCTCTTTGTTGTTTTGGTGGCTGGCTGGCTAGCTGTCTGCTTACTACGTTTGTTTGGCTCTCTCTAGCGCGCCCTCTCTCTCTCTCTGTTTGTCTGTCTGTGGGTGTTTCGTTCTAGCTGCCGCCGATTCTGTGTTGTTGCTGTTCATTCATCCAAAGGCCGCCTGCAAATGTTTCCATTTTACAAAGATCCTGCCATCGCACAGGCTTTTGCAGGCACCAAAACACAATCCGGCTTTTCGATTCCACACAAATATTATTTATTGCACACGCACACATGTAATAACTATAACGGTATGTTACACTTTATTATGATTTCACATTACGCTTGTGTGTGTCCGTCCGGTCCGTGTTTGTGTCCGTGTGTATGGGAGGATAAACACACAGGCAAAACAATCAGGCGGTCAGCAGAAGTACGCGGCGCAACGCACCAAAAACGTTAATGCAACCGGCGTCGACACGAGGCCCCTATGTATGTATATAAGCACACACCTACGCGACGAGCAGAGCTTTTATCGGTTGCGCCACCGAAATGTTTGCATGCGCTCCAGCGACCCAACCACGTCGAAAATTGGAAAATTACAGAGAGGGCCCCAACATGGGGAGACTTTTTTGCTCCATGGTAAAATTTTTCATAAGGTGTGGTTTCACATATGGGCATGGTATATCTACATAGGGTGGGGCTCTAAAAATAAAACAAATTCGTCGTCTTTTGCTTGCATACAATTAAAACAGCATTTTGAAGCTAATTCAAAATTAAAATAAAATATTCAAAATCATTTTTACCAAAATATATAATCCAGCTGTGGTTTTTGGTATGTACCCATCCCTGGTGTGCACAGCAGGGACATAAATAGGCCGCCAAAAGTCTCAGTTAACATTTAAATTTAAGTTTTACTGTTAACTCCGTATAAATGGAAACATAATTATTGTGGATATGATAAAATTACAACATAAACTTGTTATTCTTCTCGGAAAGATGCTTCGATGAGCGCTTGGCGTCGAGGAACAGCGAGTGCACATCCTCAATGTCGTCCTTGGTGATCAGAGTGCGTCCATTAACCTTGCACATCTGATGGGCCGGCGTCAGCAGCTGGACGGCATAGCGCAGCGTCGAGCTGGTTCCAATCTCGCTGAGGCGTGCAAAGGCCGGGTCCTCCAGCTGCAGGCCCTCGGTCTGGGCGCGCAATTTGATGATCTGCTCCATATCCGAGGTGGAGTAAAGAAGGGTGCGGATGATTAGCAAGCGATCGAGCAGATCCAAGGGAATGCCATGGGGCGAGACAATGTCGGTGGTGCCACTGCAGGGAAAAAATCTATTATAGTGGATAACCGATAGAGTGCAGCAGAGTGCACACTCACCGAATGACGCAGCGTCCCCGATTGGTGGCAAAGATCACAATGGGAGCAATCGGCGACTCCAGGGACTTGTGTAGATAAGTGAACGTCTCCAGATCTAGCATGTGAATCTCATCGATGAACAGAACTCCAGGCACCAGCTCCGCAATGCCCTGATCGATGTATTTGTTGACTACCTTGTTGATCTCCATGCGCAACTTATCTGCATACAGAAAGCGAGGGATTACTTATATTATACGCATCCAAGACTCTTGACCAACTCACCTGTAATTTCCGTCTTCTTGGGCTTCATCAGCTGCCCCACCATTGAGAGCACGTCCTGGCCGCCCTGGGGACGGGCATTGGCCACATCCAAATCGTGCAGGGTTACATCCTGTATGACCTCCTTCTTCTTGTGGACATCGCCCTTGGGCAGGGGCACATACTCCTCGGTCTCGAGGTCGAACTCTGTGGCAAAAGTGTCGCTGCGTCCCTGACGCTTCACTGCACCGCTATTGGCCTCAATGTAGATGACATCGCCCACCTCAACCTTCTCTTTCTGCAGGGCATCGAAGATGCTGGGGTCCAGCTTCAGCTGCTTGGTGCCCTTGGCAGTCTTGAGGCCAATCACTACGTTGCTGATGGTCTTGCCGTAGCCTCCCATTGGGTTCTCCGTCTCCACGGGAGTCAGCTCCGTCACCTCGCCCTCGTAGACCTCCTTGGTCTCGCGAATGCGCAAACCAATGGAGCGGCGAAAGTTCTCCATGAGCACCTCCGTCTTCTTGATCTCATTGCTGAACACCTCGGAGCCCACCATCGGACAGAAGGGCACCTTGTTTCCCAGCTCCTGGGCTATGGCGAGGGCGATGGCGGTCTTTCCAGTGCCTGGTGGCCCGGCCAGGAGGAGAGCACGTCCGGCCATCTTCTTCGACTTGATCAGGTCCACGACTATGCCAGCCGCTTCGCGGGCTGCCTTTTGGCCCACCAGGCCAGCGGCGCTCTGCAAGGCCGAGCCGGCTTCGTCCAGGCCCAGGCCCTTCACGTGGCTGTGGGCGGCAATGCGCTGTGTGCGCACAGTACTCTTTACTTCCTCGATTTTCATTTTGCTCTGTTTATTGCTGCTCTGCTAGTTGTTATTTTTCACCAGTACGATTGTGAAGTCAGGCGTGATATTGATTAAACAAGTCAAAACGAAAATTGGTTGCCGGTGCGAAGCACACTTTGTTTTTCGATAATACTATCGATACATCGATTTCAAGTCAGCGTATAATTTGATGTATCGAATGTTCACCAGCTGATACAAAGAGAACGTACCAATAGAATTGCCTGCGACAGTTCCCAGCTCCCGGCTTTAAAATGTGTGAGAATACGTGTGCACGCTATATTTAAAATTTTTAATTTAAAATAAGCTGGAACCTATTAATTAATTATATATATTTTATTGTTTTTAATTGTTGTTCGCAATTTGTGTTGAAAAATTGTATTTATTCAATAGGCACACTGTCACATCCCGGGGGAACGTTGGGATTTTTTGACAGATGTAAAATCCCGGCTCAATTTATGTATGTGTGTATATTATGTTTAACAAAATAATACAATTCCAATGAAAACTTTTGCAGAAAATTAAATTTATACCGTTTCGTGTTTCGTGTTTTTTCGTGCTGATTTTCATTGTCTATTACTTTTGGCCATCTCTAGAGTACCTTATGAGAGTAAGAAAGCGCAACACGAACGGTCACATTACAAGCTGAATTTTGTATATAAAGCAACTACGACAGAGCCACAATGGGCCCGCCGTCGGCGCCTCGAATTCCTCTCGAATTGTACTTTAACCTCCGCAACCACACTTCTTGGAGCGTTATTGAACCTCCGCAACCACACTTCTCGGAGCGTAATTGAACCTCCGCAACCAGACTTCTCGAATCGTACTTTAACCTCCGCAACCACACTTCTTGGAGCGTAATTGAACCTCCGCAACCAGACTTCTTGGAGCGTAATTGAACCTCTGCCACCACACTTCTTGGAGCGTAATTGAACCTCCGCAACCACACTTCTCGGAGCGTAATTGAACCTCCGCAACCACACTTCTTGGAGCGTTATTGAACCTCCGCAACTACACTTCTCGGAGCGTAAGTGAACCTCCGCAACCAGACTTCTCGAATCGTACTTCCACCTTCGCAACCAGACTTCTCGGAGCGTAATTGAACCTCCGCAACGAATCTTCTCGGAGCGCAATTGAACCTCCGCAACGAACAACGAATCTTCTCAAAGCGTACTTAATCCTCTGAAACGACATTGGATTTGCGATTGGGTGTTCCTTATTGGCATTCTGCATATCTACTGGAAGTCTTTGAGATCTTTTACCTTGACGCGGCCCGGCAGTAGCTTGACTTTGCCTCCTCCAAAAACCGGAAGAGCATGGTCCGGGATCGATGACGACGAAGCCAAGCCCCGAGAGGGAAACCAAAAAACGCTTCTGTTTGGGGAAACCAGCTGAAATTATTGGCGATCTGAGGCCAGTTGATGGTGTCACCAGGCTGGACTACTCTTACAGACTCATGGAGCAGATCTCACAGCTCTGGGTGGGTACAACGAGCAACACGCTTGGCAAATGGCATATCCACTCTGATGCTGCCCACAAAATTAAACTATAAAGAGTATTACTTCTTCAAATAAGATTTGGCAGATTATTAAAGTAGGTGTATATGTATATAGAGCTCTTTGACAATGAATATTTTACCACATTTACTGTAAAAGTCGAGCCACAGAGTCTGCAGTTGCGATGCTGAAACGACGAAACCGCGTCCCCTTTCTCCCATCTGACCTAGAAGCTGTTAACCGTTATGTACAGCCTGGTCAGCGTTGGCGTTCTATTTCCATAGAAAACCCTTCCCATACCCAAGCCAGGGCCTTCACCCGTCCCAAATAAGAAGTTATTTAAGTACATATGTACGTATATATTCTTTATTTATTATACATTTTTCTTGAATGTGCAATGAATGCAGCATTGAGCGTCCTGCGGGGCCTCATCTGCGGGCCTCCACCCCGACGGAGGGCAGGCCGTGCTCCTTTCACATGGCCAGGAGGTCCTTGTTGGAGAGTGTCTTCAGGCGAGACGCGATTGGGAGCATCATTTGGACTGAATCGAAAACGTTTTCAGAGAATTCGGTGGTCAGTTCGAGATTTTTGTTTGCTTTCCGTTTTGTTTTTGTGCGGAAATGTCGGAGCTTTCGAAACTGGAGACACTTTCAAACAAGAACCTCCTGCATTATCCCCGCCGAGGGTTTACTTAATTTAAGTTTTAATTAGCTTTTAAAAAATTTAGTTTTAAACAATTTAAACCGATTAAAGTACAATTCGAGGACAGTGTCAGTCTATACTGACCTCGTAGCTGCTGGGAAAAAATGATTTGTACTTTGCAATTATTTCGTACTAAAGCGTTAGAAATTGGATAAAATAAATCTTGTATTATAATGCCTTTCAATTCAAAATTAACAAAATTTACATGGAATATAATTATTATTATTATTATGCATCGAAATCCATATTTAAAAAAAAATAATTGTCTTCCCATTTTTCACCCAGTGCGGTATCAATTAGTTGTAGAGCGGAGGTTTTATGCTGTTTTATGCTGTACGTGAGCTTCAGCCCAGCAGCAGCGGTTTTTCCCTCTGCACAATAGATAGAGCCGGGTCGAGCTGTATCCTATCCATACTCCGAGCAACCACCAATACTTTTAGTGCGGCGGTTGCACATATTTGCAGCGACGGTAGATGGCGAGGGGCGCATGGGCTGTGCAGAGCCGTACGCTCCGGATATTTCGCGTAAAACTCTTTATCCATAGCGCTAAATTTAATTAAAATAAATATACATATATACAAAATTAGGGCTCCTCCTTCATCTTCAGCCATAATCGTGGCTGGACGCCCATAATTTTCATGCCAAAGATCAATCGCGATCTCCGGCGCTGCAGATCGTTGAAAACTCGCTCGAACTGGCAGATCGCCAGCCCTTTGAGGTCCGGATGTTCCGGCCTACAACTGATAAATTTTTTTCCACCCATAAGTACTTTGTATTGCGGCGGTTGCCTTCTTCTGACTGGCGGCTATTCTATAGCATATACGAGTATATTATGAAATAAAGAAACTCATTCCACACCACCCAATGGGTTTTTCCCAACAGGCCTAATCCACTATATTTTTTTTGGGATTTGGAAAGCATTGCTTTTGCAATGTGTAAATTTAAATTGACTTGAATTGGCTTGAAATGTTCTTACCAGCACCGCCTTCACTGACAAAAAACTTCACGTAGCGCAGACCGTTGATGTTGCGGTGGTTGCGTTGGTAGCGGCGATCCAGGATACTTTTGAGCACCAGCATGCCGAAACTGCAACATACACTGTAGACTAAGATACATTAAACGATTCAGATAGATCAACAATATAACGGAGCTCGGAAGGGGCCAGAACCTCTGCTGGAGGTGGAGATGTCCTAGGGCATAATCGATGACATTGTCATCGAGCATTACCGAAAAATCATGCACTTAATAAGCGATGATTTTTCACGAAAAATCATGCATTTTATAGGTGATGATTTTTACCTAAATATCATGATGATAAGTGATGATTTTTCACGAAAAATCATGCATTTAATATAAAAAGTAATACATTGTAATTGTTTATTTTTCCAATTATTTTTATTTATTATTATTCATTATTGTCTGCTTTGTATTTTTTTTCTCTTGAGGTCTTCTGAAAATGACTATTCTTAATGTTGTGAATAGCTTTCCGAATCACTTTTTCTGCTGGCTCGTCGGGTATTTTCATCTTCACCGCCGCTGAAATAATTTTTTATTTAACACGCGTACAACACATATTATTAATTATTTAAAAACTGCACTTACCTGATAATAATAATAATCACAGATTACTTATTTTCACTTATTAAAACTCCGTGTGACGATTGCAAATAGCAAAGAACAAAGCAAAAGAGTTCTGTCGACGCAGGCGCAAAGAAGACGAAAAGATAAAACGAAGTTCTCTGCTACTGCGCACGGTCGGCAGAACCGAATTACGTTCGGCACGCGCGGAAAAGAAAGAAACAAATGGTTCGATTTGGCTGGCGTCAACGCCTCGATGACATTCGTCATCGCTCACTGCTGGTACTGCAGGCCGGCTTTTAGCTTCACACACAAGCGCACTGAAAGCATGTCAGTGTCTGCGTGCCGAAACCGTAGGGCAGCGTGCTTTAGATAAATTTAATGTACGCATCTAATAGAGAATTTTCAAGATAGTTTTAGTTTAGCTGAGACGGCCAAAGGTCCCACTGTGCCGCTCCAAAGACATCGTCGATCCGCGACCATCGCTTCAACGGTGCTGAGGCTCGAGAGTCCAGAATTATTTCGTTGCTGGTGAAGGCATTGCCGAACACACGAAACCGATGGGCAGCGGGGTCGCGGTAGAGACGAAGTACAGGCGAAAAGGGAATTGAAACCCCGCGCGCTCCCTCGTGCCTTTTGGGTCCTAATGTTAGGACCCGCCATAGAACAGCTTTTTGGTCGCTCATGCAACATACAATTGGTATTGTAAAGTCTTTGGTAGGATGCAAATATTTTCCAAAAGTCGACAAGAGCCTAATTGGTCTATGGTTGTTGAGATCTTCCGGTGGTTTTCCTGGCTTTGGCAACATGATTATGTGGTCATACCTCCAGGCTTTTAGTTTTAGTTCAGTTTTATTAAAAAGTCGCATAAAAGTGTAAAATTAGTTTTGAGTTAAGTTAAGTTATAGATCAGGCAATATGGGCGGACAAGTGCACACCAAATGCTTGTCGCCATAGGCATCATCTATTCTTCCTACAGTGGGCCAAATCTTTGCATCGGGTTTAACGAAGAGCTAAAAAACCAAATTGTATATAATTTAAGAAAGAAATTAAACAGCAATTCAAAAGATCTTACCGCTGGGAAGGCGGCCTGTTCGCGGGTATACGGTCTATTCCATTTGTCGGAGATGACCTGGGACTGGGTGTGGGGCGACATCTTCAGGGGATTGACCGCCCTGTCCATGCGGCCAGCCTCGATCTCGGCAATCTCCTCGCGAATGGATATCATGGCATCGCAGAAACGATCTAGCTCTTCCTTGTCCTCGGATTCGGTTGGCTCAATCATCAGAGTGCCGGCCACGGGCCAGGACATGGTCGGGGCATGGAAACCGTAGTCCATTAAACGCTTGGCCACGTCCACGGCCTCGATGTTGGCCGACTTTTTCAGGTCGCGGATGTCCAGGATGAACTCGTGGGCCACCAGCTCCGAGCTCGGAGACTTGTAGAGCGTCTTGTAGTGCTGCTCCAGGCGCTTCGACATGTAGTTGGCATTGAGGATGGCCACCTGGGTTGCGCGTTTCAGACCCCGGCTGCCCATCAGCTTGATGTAGGACCAGGAAATGGGCAGGATTGCGGAGCTGCCGAACGGAGCAGCAGAGACAACCCCGAAGCTGTGCTCCTCGCTGCTCAGCGGACTGATTACGGGATGGCCGGGCAGATAGGGTGCCAGATGAGCCTTCACGCCAATTGGACCCATGCCAGGTCCGCCGCCACCATGAGGAATGCAAAAGGTCTTGTGCAGATTTAAATGGGAAACGTCGCTGCCGTAGTCGCCGGGCCGGCAAAGACCGACCTGGGCATTCATGTTCGCCCCATCTAGGTAGACCTGTCCGCCGTGCTTGTGGATTAAGGTGCAGATTTCTGCCACTGTCTCCTCGAAAACTCCCATTGTGGACGGGTATGTTATCATCAGGCAAGATAGCTCGTGGGCGTGCTCCTCGGCCTTGGCCCGCAAATGTCCCATATCGATGGAGCCGTTGGACAGGATCCGTATGGGCTCCACTTTCATGCCCGCCATCTGCGCTGAAGCAGGATTCGTTCCATGAGCGGAGATTGGAATCAGACAGATATTGCGGTGACCCTCGCTCCGGTGCTCATGATAGCTGCGAATCGCTCGCAGTCCGGCGTACTCTCCCTGTGCCCCTGAGTTCGGTTGGAAGGAGATTCTGTCGTAGCCAGTGATCTCGCACAGATCCCGCTCCAGCTCGTTGAACATCTGGTGGAAGCCTTTGGCCTGATCTACCGGAGCAAAGGGATGAATGTCGGTGAAGTGGCGGAAGGAGCAGGGCATCATCTCCGTAGTGGCGTTTAGTTTCATGGTGCACGAGCCCAGCGGGATCATCGAATGGACCAGAGAGATGTCCTTGTTCTCCAGCTTCTTCATGTAGCGCACCATTCGTGATTCACTAGGATATGAACGAATAGTCAATGGAATCGGAGGAATCTCCTCGATCATTCTTACGCCTACCTGTGATAGCTGTGGAAGATGGGATGCTGCAGGTAGGGGGAAGTACGAAGGAACTTTGAGCTCTCGATTGAGTTCTTCAGGACATCTCTGCGGGCCAATAGCTGCTCCACCGATGTCTCTGCTTTGAACACCCACAGGAGATCGTCAACATCCTCTACACTGACTGTCTCATCCAGGGCCACACCGACCGTTCCATCACCCAGGTAACGGAGATTAATACGCTTGTGTTTGGCGCGCTCTTTGAGATCCTCGAGCGACAGATTCCCGGAGAGCTTCACATGGAGCGTGTCGAAGAAGTTCTTGTTTATCACCTCGTGACCGACCTGAAGCAGACCCGTCTGTAGGGTCAGGGTGAAGTGATGGATGCGATTGGCCATGGCCTTCAGGCCCTCCGGCCCGTGATAGATGGCGTACATGGCGGACATATTGGCCAGCAGCGCCTGAGCTGTGCAGATGTTGCTGGTGGCCTTGTCCCGCCGGATGTGCTGTTCCCTCGTCTGCAGTGCCAAGCGGTAGGCATCGTTGCCGTCCATGTCGCGGGTCACTCCAATCATCCGACCTGGCATCAGCCGCACTAGGCTCTGCTTGCAGGCAAAGAACCCAGCATGGGGACCGCCATAGCCCAGGGGCACGCCCAGTCGCTGAGAGGTGCCGATAGCTATGTCAGCCCCGAATTCGGCCGGCGGTCGGAGCAGGGTCAGTGCGAGCAGATCTGTGGCCACCACGACGAGCGTCTAGAATGGGGAATGCACTACTCTGGTGTTCAAAAAATGTGTATTGCCTTACCCCGTTCTTTTTTGCCAGCGAAGCTATATCCTCAAAGTCCTTGACATCGCCGTACGTGTCTGGATACTGCAGCAGAATGCCAGCCAGCTCTCGGCTCGGCAGATCCGCCTGCCCAATGGGACCCACCTCAATCTCCAGCTCCAGAGCTTCAGCTCGGGTCTGGACGACGGCCAAGGTCTGCGGATGCACGCGGTTGGAGAGGTAGAGCTTCTTGCGCTTGTTGTGGCGCGTGGACAGGCACATGGCCTCGGCAGCGGCCGTGCCCTCGTCCAGCAGTGAGGCATTGGCCACATCCAGGCCAGTCAGGTCCGAGACAAGGGTCTGGTAGTTGAGCAAGGACTCGAGACGGCCCTGGGCAATCTCCGGCTGGTAGGGGGTGTACTGGGTGGTCCAGCCAGGATTCTCGAACATGTTGCGGAGGATGGTGTGCGGGACATGGCAGTTGTGGTAGCCCATTCCAATGTAGGAGCGCCACAGCTCGTTCTTCAGCGAAATGTCGCGTATGCGGCGGATCAGCTCGTGCTCGTCTGCAATGCGGAGTGGAAAATTGTTGTCAGCCAGACGGAAGGCAGCTCAAAACGACAACAGCAGGGCAACGGCAGCGATAAGTCGGACCCCTCTGAACCTGGCTTATCGCTGTTATCAGCGCCACTGAAACACGCCAGGGGGTCCGGTCCAATGCCTAGACAAGTGTTTTGACAGCTATTTTTGGACCTACTTTTCCACTACTCACTTAGGGGTTTGTCCAGATTCAGGTCCCTCTTCAGCTGGATGCTCTGGGGCACGGCCTTCTCGGTCAGTTCGGCCAAGGACTAAAGAGAATTGAGAAGAGATTGGCTCGTGGATTGACCTTGGATTGTAGCTGCCCTCACCTTATAACCCAGAGTGTCTAGCATGGCCACCACATCCGTTTTGCGTGGACCTATGTGGCGACTGGGAAAATCGGATTTTGTGGGGAAAAGCACCTCCTCCACGGGCGTGGTGGCCAGATAGCGATGCTGGCACCTTAGCAGCAGGCTGCGACTACTCGTTCCCAAAAGTCGTTGCATCGTTTGGACTAGAGGTAGACTCGGGGCAAAGGCACGTCCACGGCAGGCGGATTTCAATCGATGACTGACTCCAGGCTGGAGAGATTCTCCCATTTTAGCTGATGACGACTAGACAGATCCGTCTTATCAGTGGAGATTATGGAGAGAGAGAGACCCTCTCTCCAAGCAAAGCCCAGACAGAATGATAGAAAAATGTACGCGTTCGTATTTGGTTTCTTTTTTTTTTATATTTTATTTGAAAACTTAAAACTCTTTAACAATTTGTAACAAAAATATTTTCATTATGTCCAATTTTCATTTCTTCTATTTAAATTTCGAACATCAACAACAAGGAAAGAACTCACAGAAAAAAAATTTAAATATTACACCAAAAAATAAACTTTCTTTAAGATTAGATTTTTGGGTATTTCGTATTCGTACTCGTATAAACTGAAGCCGTTCTTGAATTGTTTTTGCCTACTTAACAATTGCATTTAATAATAATATATACCCAAGGTCGTTGGGAAGGGAACACATAACCCGCAAATCGATATATACTTTTCATAAAATTTTCGTAATCGTTTTGAATAACTTTCGGTTCCGTTGCCTTGTGAGATAAATGTTTCTATAGCCATTTGCATTCGGGTTTAATTGAGTTTTGGAGCTTTTTTCATTACTGAAATTCAACAACTGCAACCGATATATGATTTAATATAATATATATCATTCGGAATCGGTATAGGTATACATATATGTATATATATAACAAATATTGGTAAACTAATATTACGGCTCGTGTCAGTCAGTTAACATTCTTTGATTAATGCTTATTTTTTATCCACGACTAACTCGGCCCAAAAATGCATTGAGAGTTCTACACCGTTGCATAACTTTGTTGTGATCTTGGTTGGCTAGTGTATTCTGTAGTATTTGTTAGACAATATTTAAGAAAAGTTTAAGTTTAAGGTTAAGTTTAAGTTGAATTGAATGTTTCAGAAACATTTCTGGTTAAAGTTTAAAGGTTAATGGTTAAAGGAATTAGCTAAACTTGTTTAACGCTGAAAAAAGATGCTGTAACCGCTTCACATTCTGGTTATAATTCCGATAGGTATTATCTTTGTATATATACTCGTATGTAGATATATAAGGATGTAGATTGTATAAAAAATCTTTGCTTAGTTATGATCAGTTGCGTTTCTGGTGCTGTCAATGTAGATGAGGTAAGTTGCAAGAAGCCAAAGATGGTTTGGTGCAAAAGTTTTGCCTTAACATTTTGTGGAAGAGTAAATATCGGATTTATATAGGTTTGTTTTTGTTCCTGTTGTATATATATATGTATGTGTAAATCTGATGTGTGTATTATGTATATATATTGCTTGTTGCATTGTCTTACGATTCTTCTGATGTTTAAAATGTTCACTCGTAAAGTAATCAATTTGAGCTTGATTTGATCGGTAAACGATCTTTATGCGGAGTGAGGTTAGGTGTGGAATATGTGTGTCAGTGGTAGAGCAGTGCGTCCCTCTACGGCTTGTCCTGTTCAGTGGGGGTCTTGGGGGTATAGCCTGAGCCAAAGCTAGTCTTAAACTGATATTGACCGAGCAGGGAGGAAGTACCCACACCCACCCCGCCCAGGGAGCTACTGGTCAAGGGTTCTCGCAATGTGAATGACATCATTGGATTATACACCCCAGTGGAGTACGTCAGAGAGCTAGTAGTGGTCACACTAGCGGCACTACAGCTGGAAATGGGATCGGTTAAGCGACTGCCCAAGGAGCTGGAGAAGTTGTAGGGCATAAAAGAGTTCGATGTCGTGATGGCTGAAGCGGATGTTGTGGTGGAGGCAAGCAAGTTGTCGGTGCTATGCAGTCGCAGATCGGAGGAACTGCTGCCGCCGATAGGCGATAGAGATTTGCCGGATCCGGCCGTGTGCGTGCTCAGATATGAGTAATTGCTGCCGCCGGGCTGGGAGAATGAAGGGCCTGCATAGCTGCTGGACATGAATGAGGTGTGGCCAGTGGTGGTAATGGGTGTGGAGGTGCTGCTCGTGGTGGAGATCGACTGGTAGAGATCGCTATAGCTCTTGGTGGTGACCGATGGCGACACCACGGGCGAACGGCTGGGCGGACGGGAGAGGGTCTGTTTCTCGATTTGTTTCTCCGTAAGGAAGCGATCATAGAAGGTCGAGGTCACCGTCGTGTGGCGGATCTCCAGCTTGGCTGGCTGGTAGGCAGGAGGGGCTGCAGGGGCATTCGGACGCCTGTACGGATCGTAGGGCTGTCGGTAGGGCGACACAGGCCGGGGGAAACTATCGGTTGCCGTGGCTGTTCCTGATATTGTGGTACCTGTTGTTGTTGTTGTGGTGGTGGTGTGCCGTGTGGCTGAGGATCGGGTCTCGTATGGGGAGCTCAACGGTGTTCTGCAGGCCGAGCGTCGGTCGTCCGCGTACTTGGCGCACGTCTCTTCTAGTTGTCTATCTACTTTATGAAACTTGGTTAAACTACTCCCGCTACTTAGTTCGCTACGATTATCAGCAAAATAATTTGGCAACATATTATCACGTCTTACCCTACTGCTCTCGCGCTCCTCCCGCTCCTCCCGGTCCTCCTGCTCTCCGCGTCTCCTGCGCGGCGACAGATCCCTGCTGATGTCCCTGTGCGAGCGATGGTGCAGCGGACTCACGTCCCTCCCGAGGGGACTCAACGAGCGCCGCGACTCAGCCGAGCCCAGCGAACGATGCTCCGAGGTTATCCTTATAGACGGGGTGTAGTCGCTGCTGCGTTGCATGGTCCGGCCCCGACTCTCACTGCGACTGTGGGCGAGATCCTCCACGGAACTCTTCTTGCTGGCGAAGTGCAGGGAGTCGGTGAAAAGCGAGTCAATGTAGCGCTGGCACTTCTCCTTTTGGTAGGGCTTCTCCTCACACAGTGTGTCGATGGACTTGATCGAGTTCTTGATGGAGCTGAGGCGATCGTTGATGTTCTCACCCGTCGTCCTCAGCGGCACGCCCGTGTGCGTCCCAGTGCGGGTGATGGGAGATGTTTCCTACAAAGGATACTTTTTGTCAGTGGAAAATCATGGCTCAAATAAACATGACTGATGTCGAGAGTTTCTTTCCAAGAACGTTAATTATAATTTTAAATTAGAACAGGGAGATCCATCTAAACATGGACTATGATCAACGACTCCCCTCCGACTAGCGACTTACCCTCATCAGGCGACTGCCCAGGGCGTCTAGACCTTCTGCCGAGCTGCTGCTGTAGCTGCGAATGCTTGATGGCTGATCTGCAAGAGTCTTCTTAAGAATACGTTGAAGAATTTTATTATTCTCCGATAAACACTCCATAACCTCATTTATGGTGCCCACCATTCGTTCGCTGGACTGGCGTGACTTTGGGCGCGGCGCTGACGCCTCCTCGAAGTAGTCCTCGTCCTCGTCCCGGAAGCGTATCACCTTGGGACTGGTGGGTCGATAGTGCGTGTGGGTGTGCGTCGAGTGTGCATCGTCGCGTCGATAATCATCGTGGTCATCGCGTCGCATCGCAGACTTTGGCGTGGTGGCGCCCCCTCCCCGGCGAGGACTCTGTTCGCGCGACTTGGCCGATTTGAACTCCTCGAAGGAGATTGAGGGCGAGATAACGTCCTTGAGCTTTTGGTTAAAGGCCTTGTAGTCCTTTTGTGTCTTAAAGTCGAAGCTATGTTCCTCCTCCAGAGCCCGCATGCGCACGTCCAGCTCCTCAGCCGTGGGGGGCTCTGGCCTGCCCGGAGAGCTGACCAGGCGTTCGAGATTGTGCACTGGCGTGCGGGGCTGCTGCTCTTCCAGCATCTTCTTGCGCTTGATATCCTCGATGGTGGGGGAGCGAGAGCGCGACTTGTGGCGGGAGGGTCGGACAGGAGACTTGAGCTTCTCGTCCAGGAGGCGAATGCGATGCTCCAGCTCCCCGGTTGTGGGTATTTCGCTGCTATCGGGACTCGGATCAAGCAGCATTTCGAGGGGATGAATGGGTGGCTTTCGATTGGGATCGTTCATACGCCTGGCCAGATTCTCCTTCGACTTGGACCGTACCAGATCGAGCACTCTATACTTGAACTCCAGGTCATCGGAGATGGGCAGATCATTGGGATGCGGCTGGCGACGTACTGGCGAGGTGTAGGGACTTCTTTTCGCCTTCTTTTCGGAGGCTCGAGTCGGTGATGAACCCGGCGTCTTTTGACGCTGACGAGATGGTGATGTATACGGGGAGGTGTACGGTGATGAATACGGGGACTTGCTGGCTGCCTTGCGCGATGGAGAAGTGTACGGCGACTTGGTGGCTGCCTTGCGCGATGGAGAAGTGTACGGCGACTTGGTGGCCACCTTCCGTGCAGGACTACGCGAACGTTGGTTGGCTGGTGGAGGTGGTTCCTCCTTGGTTGGTGTCTCCTCAACTGCGAGATCGTCATCGTCTAGGCCCTTGCCCTCGCACAAATCTAGATACTTGTTGAGGTCCTTCTCGTGGGAGAGCGAGTATTGCAATTTGATCTTGCGTTCGATTTCCTTCAAGCGCTGCTCCACATCGATCTTTTCCACATCCTCGAGCAGCTTGATCTGACGTTCGAGCGAACGAAATCGGGCCTCCAGCTCCTTCGTCGAGGGTAAGTAAACCGTTTTTCGTTTCAGGTGATGCTTGACCGGGTTGGGTCCCCAGTCGTAGTCGTTTGGCTCTTCAACCTCTGGCTTGTCTTCTATCGGTTCTTTAGGCTCTTTTGCCGGCTTTTCTTCTTCCGCATTTCCACTGGTATAATCCTCGATCTGTTTGGTGAGATCGGTAATGGCCTGAGCCTGCTCCACTTGCTCGGCAGAGGGCTTGCTTTCAGCTCGTATCAGGCGGCCATCTTCGGACTTGATTAAATTCCGGTCGTTCAGCTGCTTTTCCAAGGCCTGAAAGAGATCTTCGAGTTCTTCGGTGTTGGCTCTGGTCAGGCGCCTGAGTCTTGAGGCCTTGGGTTCATTGTCCATAAGGAGCACAACAGTCTTGTTGCTGGCATCCACAGGTCCAGTTTCGCTGCCATTGGTGACCATTTTGTCTGGCATTTCCTTGGAGGCATCCTTGGTAGTTGGTTGGTTCTTTTCTGGCTGCTGATTGGAGGATTCCTTCGTGGCTGTGCACTCGTCGGAACAGCACTTCGTTGCTTTCGTTTCTTCGTTCTTGTTGGGTTTGTCTTTCTCAGCTTGAGGGGGTTCCAATTCCTTGAAAGAGGGCTCTTCAACATGTTCGGTTTTGATTACATCTTCCTGTTTGGTATTCTCCTCTTGTACCTCGGACTTTGGATCGACCACTGCCTCTTTAGCTGTTTTATCGACATCTACCTCTTTGGCCCGGGCTTGGGCTATCTCTTCATTTTCCAGGGTTTTGGTCTCCTTCACCGTTTCGGGCTCAATGCTCTCTGGCGGAAGGTCCTCCAATCTCACCGTCTCATCGCTTTTGACATTCTGGTTGTGGCAATCCTTCTCCTGCTTTTTGGAGCCTTCACTCTCATCGGGTTTATCCGGCTGTGGCTGCGGCTCTTCCAAAGCTTCATTCTCTGGGATGACGGTGCCGTTCTTGGCTCTCTCTTCCACCAACTGTGCCTCCAGCCGCTCGAGACGTCGTGCCAGGTCCTCTGTAGTGGGCTTGGACTCGCTCCTCTTCCGTTCAGAGTCCTTGTTGACCATCATTTTGATGTTGATGCTGATGTTGATGGGCTTGTGGGAGTCCACTTCCTCCAGCTCGCCAAAGTTCTGCGTGTATCGCACCAGCTCCTTGCCGGTGGTGGCATCGATGGTGTCCGTGCTCAGCCGACGCGGCGAGCCGCTGTCATCGCTCTGGGGGGCCACAGCCACTGCCGCCGCTGACTTCTCGCGCATGGCTTCCAGCAACTTGAGACTGTTCTCGCTCAGCTGCTTCTCCAGGGCCAGGACACGCTGCTCCAGCTGGCCTTCGGCCAGAGCCTGGCGCGAGGTGCTCGGCCCGTCAGCGCTGATCACTAGGACATTGGCCTTCGATGCAACTTCGGAATCACTTGCACAGCGCTGCTTGTAGAATTTCTTATACAATTGCTTCTCCAGGAATTGTAATCGGTTTTCCAGATCGGCCCTTGAGGGCAAATCGGAGAAACGACGAACCGTTCGCTGCTGCCAGGGTTCATAATTTCCCGATCTGTAGTAAGCCGTGTTTGCAGGTGCTTCCGAGGTCTCATCGCCCATCGTTGTGGGTCGCTGTTGCAGTTGCAGCTGCCGTTGTCGTTGCTGCTGCTGCTGCTGTTGCCGTTGCTTTCGCTGCGGATTGATCTGGCTGGGCTTGAGGTTCTCCTCACCCGGGCCTTGTCCCTGCATTTTGCTCTGGAGCTCTTCGATGAGTGCCTGCTGCTGGTGAAGTGTGGGCGCCGCCAGGATCCTCAGCTCCGCGGGTGGCAGTGGAGGAGCCGGGGGCGGAGAAGGTATATGCGCCTCAATGGCCACATCCACCAGCTTGGGCTGGGACTTGGTTTTGCTCTCCGCCTTGTCCTTGCCATGCAACGCCTCGAAGCGGCTCTCCAGGTCCTCCGTTGAAGGTGGCTGTTTCTTCTCCGCCGCTCGGTCCTCACTGCACTCCGAGATGACCTCCTGTTCGATCCGTTCGAGAGCTTGGTTCACGGTCTCGCTTTGAGTGGAAAAATGATTCTTGCTGCTCATGCGGCGCTTCAGGGTTTCGTAGCGCTTTTCAAGATCCTCTGTCGAGGGCGGTTCCGAAGCTCTTCTCTTACTGAGATCCTTCTGTTCGGTTTGCTGACATTCCTCAGTGTTTTTTGTTCGACTATTTTCAATTTTTGTTTCGTGAGACTCCTCAATATTATTTGCTGAAGTTTCCTGGGTTTCTTTAGCCTTCTTTGCTGGAATTTCGTCCGTTTTCTTCGATGCAGTGACCTCCTTTTCTTTGGTCTCCAACGTCTTGCTGGCACTCTTACATCGCTCTTCGAAACTTTTTCGCTTCTCCTCGGCTCGAACTTCGACCTCTGATTTCTTCTGATCGTTTGTCAGTGCAGTATTCACTTCTTTCAGCTTCTCCTCAAAGGTTTTCGTGGACTTTTGTTCCCTTTCCGCAGTCTCAGCTTCCTTTTGATTCCTTGCTTCTGTCGACCTCTGATCTTTTGCTGTGGATTTTGTTTGCTCAGCTTCCTTGGATGACTCCAGGTTGGTTGTGCTCAATTGCTTCTCCAGGGCATTGAAACGCTTCTCCAGCTCCTCTGTGGAAGGTGGGGACTTACGTGCAGTCTTCACAGGTTCTTCTTGATTTTCCACCTTTTCTGGTTCTGGCTTCTTTTTTGCCTTCTCTGATTCCACTTTCGTGTCGGGGCTGTCTTTTCCCGATGGTTTTGGTTCGACTCTTTTAGACGCTTCTTTTTCTTCACGGGTTTTCGTTGGTGTCCTATCCTTAACCTTAACCGTTTCGTTTCGTTTATTGCTTTCTTCGGAATCCTTTGAATCCTTTGAAGCCCGTCTTTCTTGGGGTTTCTCATCTCTAATTTCTGAATCTTCTGGCTCTTTTCGGGCCTTAGGTTCCTCCCTGGCTGGCTCTTTTCGGGCCTTAGGTTCCTCCTCGGCTGGCTCTTTTCGGGCCTTAGTTTCCTCCTTGGCTGGCTCTTTTCGGGCCTTGGGTTCCTCCTTGTCTGGCTCTTCATCTGGTGGCTCCTTTTTAGTCTTGGCTGGGCTACTCTTCTGTACGCTCATTTTGCGTTCCAGGGCATTGAAACGATCCTCCAGCTCGGCTGTCGAGGGCAGTTTCCTAAGGCGTGGCTGGTCTCCTTCTTTATCTTCTTTATTTTTATCAGTTTCCGACCCTTTAGTGCTTTCCGTTTGGGGTGTTGTTGCTGTGTCCTTTGTCTCGGATTGGGAGTCCTCTGATCTGTGGAGTTTGCTGGTCTTCTCGCTGTCCTTCTGCTCTTTCGTGCCACTTCCGCTGGACTGCTCTGCATCTCCCAGGTCCACCGGGGGAGCCTTGGAACTTGATTCACTGGAACTCATTTGCTTGGTTAAGGCATCGAAACGGCTCTCTAGATCGGCTGTTGAGGGAATCCGCTCAGACTTTTCGGCCAATTCGGGATCCATTTCCTCCAGCTCCTTTCGCACCTTCTCGGCACTGAGCTGCTTCTCAAGGGTCTCGAATCGCTCCTCCAAGGCGGCCGTGCTGGGAATATACTTGGGCTTATCACATGAGTGCTCCTGGCTGATGCGATGCTCCAGCGCCTGGAAACGCTCCTCGATATCGATCGTCGACGATCTGGTCAGCGTCTTGCGTCGTGGATCGTGACGCTTCCGGCTGGCATTGCTCAAAATGGCGGCTGTCGGAGGCGGTGGCTGGTGCGACTCTATCGTCATGCTCAGCACCTCCTTGTAGTCGTCTTTGTTTTCGCCGGGAATGTTGTCGTCGCGGATCTGCGGCACTTTGTCATCCGCATCCACCAGGTCTTCCCTTATCTGAGGCGGAGACATTGCCTTCGCCTCCTGCTCGCCGCTCTGTCCCTCCACCTGAGCCCTCTGCTCCATGTACACCGCTCGAGCGTCCGTTCCCTCTTCGTTGAGGGAGTAAGACAGTTCTAGGCGGCTGGGACGCTCCACACTGTTCACTCGCTCGAAATACTGATTGGTAACGCCATCTTCACTAAAATCGAACCGACGTGGAGTGGATTCGACGGCCTGCTCCTCTGCCGCACTCGCCGCTCCTGCTGCTCCCTCAATGCCCAGGGGATCGATGGACACCGGCCTGGGCGTCGGAAGCGGACTGATGCAGGACGCGCCCAGATAGCTGGCCATGTCCGGCATCGGCGACAGCTGACTGGTGCTGGTGATTCCAGGGATAACTGTGTCCACCAGCAGGTGCAGTGGCTCCATTTTGCTGGCCAGCTCGGACTCATTGCCGAAGCGGCCGCTTTCTGTGGCACTGTCCTCTGCAGCTTCCGCCTCCTGTTTGGCGGCCGGCTCCTTCTCATCCCCACTCTCTGTGCCCATCAGCATGAAGGGAATTTCATGGGAGCTGGGAGCCCAGGACTTTGGTCTCTGGCGCTCCAAGCTCGCCTCTCGGGACCCCGTCAACAGCTGCGGCTTCTCCTTTAGCTTGCGCGCCAGCCTCGCCTTTTGCTTGGGACTTTTCTCCGTCGACTTGGGGTCATCGTCGTCACACAGACTGGTGTCCGTGCTGGATCCACCGCCGCCGGCGCTGCCACCGCTGCCCCCGGCGCGTTCTACCTGCTCCTGCTCGCCATCGCTGTCCTCGCTGTACGAGGAGCTGTCGCTCTTGCCGAATCGCGATCGGAGCTTCTGCGTCTTCATCGTCTTATCAGCGCCCTCGCGCATTATGGCCGCCCGTTCCGCTTTGATCTCCTTCCAGGTCAGGCTGTCGCGGCGTCTGAGAGTGGGGTCCGTGTCCCGCCACAGCAGAGTCTCGCCACGTCGCAGCTGCTTCTCGGTGGAAGGTTTGGTGTGCAGAACGGCTGGGAGGGAGGGCTTCCTGGCAGGTGGAATGGCTCCCAGGGGGGCACTCACCCTCTTCCCCTTGTTGGTGATGATGGCCGGCCGGCCGAGGAGCAGCTGATTGACTGCCACCGAGGCCTGGGCAGTATTCGGTGGTCCCTGACGGGCTGCCGTCGAGCAGGCAGTGGTCAGGATGACATGCGCCTGTTTCTGGCGCTCCCTCAACCGATCGTATTGCTTCTTGAGCAGCGAAATGTCCAGGGCCATGCGGTCCTTCGGCTCCGTAGGCTGCTTGCCCGCTGCTGGTCCCACGGAGCCGCGACGGCCCCAGTTCAGACCCCAGACGGTGGCCACCGCCATGCGCTCCTCATCCGAATGCGTGTCCTCATCATCGTAGTACAGTCTGCAAGGGAGGATGCTCAGAATGCTGGAACTTTGAATATCTCTTTCCGATATACTCACTGCATTCCCTGTTGGTGTCGGAGAGGGGCAATGTTGTACAGATGCTTGTCCCTCAGCTGCCTGAGATCCGCTATGGGTCCTAGCTTGACGACTCTTTCGATCAGTCCATTCGAATCGATCAAATGGCCGTTAAGCAGTTCACTCGAATAGGAACCCATTTTGCCATAGAACTCATCGGCTGAACGGACACTGAGAACGCGTCTGAAACGAGAAGAAAGGCATCTCTTGAAAGGTATTCTAATGTTAATAAAGATTGCATTTCATAGTCTTTGCTAGTCTGTTGAAGGCCTGAAACTCTGCCTACAGTCAAATCTCAGTGGCTGGCTTTTGAACGCAAAAGAGCCTGGAGCCAGCCTGTCAGAAATCGTGCCAAAAAATGTATGGGCGTTGTCTCTACTTGTACCCTGTCTTTAAAATGCGTCAAATATTGTGCTGATGCAGGAATAACTATGGAGAACAGAAAGTTTATATTTCTAAGATTCTATTTGTTTCCTTAAGAGCTACTTTGGATTCAGCTTCCAGCCTTTTCGAATGACTCTTTTCCATTAGCTCGTATCTTTCTTCATGGTTTGCCGTTTGGATTTCTTTGACATTGAAATCGCTTAGCCCCAAATCTAGCACCATGTCTAGTCGGTTTATGCATTTGCTAACCTTGTTGATAGCTGGTTTACTTGTTGTTATCCACAGACACCATAAAAAGTTCCTAGATGACAGTACATAAAATTTCTGGTGGCCAAAAAACGAACCGAAACTGCTAAATTGCATTTGGCAAGCGAGAAAAAGTTTTACCAAATTTCTAACAGCAGCCTTGACACAAATTCGTGCCGCACACTGCAGCACCAACAATTGGAGGGGGGGGGGGGTGTTGCACTGGCACCCAACCAAGCAAAACCCCCAGCCAGGGCAGAGACAGGGACAGAGAGGCTGTACTCACTCTTCAAGGAGGCTCCAGAGAACGAGAGCGGTGCGGAGGATGACATCGCTGCCCTCGATGAGCACCAGGTCCCAGACGCGCAGCACACAGGACATGGGCAGGCAGGTGCAGAACATGGTGAGGAACCACTGCATGGTGAAGACATTGGTCAAGGGCGGCTCGTAGGCATTCTCCACGGGCCCCTGAAGGCGCTGCAGGTGCTTGGCGAGGCGCGGCAGACGCGTTTGCATCAGTTCGCGGAATACGCCCATGTCCGCCTGGAGGCCGCCCATCGAGCCGTAGAAGTAGCCCGTCGGCAGTACGCCCTCAACCAGATAGATCATGACCTTCATGGACTCCTCCTCCTCCTTGTCCATGACCTGCAGTATCAGAGCGCCCAGCATGTTGAAACCCTGGGTGGGATGGACGAGAGTATTCTTGAGTCGAGGCAGCAGACAAAGAGCCGTCGAGGAGCACTCACCTGGCAATAGCCCACCTCGGGATTGTAGCGGGCATACCCGAGCAGAATGCGCTTCAGCTTGGCCTGGTTGATGGATCCCGCGGGGCCGGTGCACAAATTGGAGCCAGTGCGATGCAGGTCCTGGTTTCAGTAAAGGGGAAATCCGCTTAAAAATAGCCCCGGCCCCAGGGCAGCGTGCACCAGATTCTCACCTTAACGATTTGTATGCCCAGCTCCTCGTCATCCTCGCGCCACTCCTCGCAGAAGCACTTCTCCCGCTGCTTGGCCCAGTCCACGTTCTTCGACTTGAGGTATTTGTCCGCCAGCGACAGCCACAGCTGTGTGGGTTAAGGTGGGGTAAGGTGAGGTGGCCAATGCAATCAGTCCAACCGGACGGCTGACAGCTGACAACTGAATGGATACCTTACCTTGCGCCGGAATTCGGGTGGGGTGCCGCCGGGCAGGCGGGCGACCAGCTTCATGGCATGCAGCCATTGATTGTAATCCGATGCAGCATCCTCATCGCTGGCGACTGCAGCGGCGGTGGTGCTGGAGCTGCTTTCGTGGCCTCCACCGCCATTGCGTGTCAGCATGTTGTGGGTGGCGGTGCTTCTATTTTTGCTGTTTGTGGTGGTGCTGCTGGTAGGGGAGGTTAGGCTGGCTTTCCGCGGCGGTGGTGAGAGGCTAAAACGCATTTTAGGCTGTGCATCGTCTGAAAGAGTTAAGTTTTAAGAGTTATATAGCATACGCTCTGGCTGCGATTGATTGTATTTCTATATATATTATTTCTCTATTAAAATCGGACTCGATTCGGCTGTGTCCCTATGACTTACAATATCCGTGCAGTATGCAAACTTTACATGTATATAAGATACGTTTTTATAGATATATATTCATAGAAAGAGATTAGTTGGTTTTGTTTAGAGTTAGTAGAGCGCGCAAAAGAGAGAAGAAGAAAGAATACAAAGAATATATGTATATATTGATATATTTATATAGGTTAGACACATAATCAATCAAGTATTTTGATCCGGATGGTATCAGGAGATGACAGCGAAATGTGTCGATGTGCGAAACAAACTCGAGATCAAAACTAGGACATGCGAATCGGGTGGATGTGAAAAGCCAACATTCAAAGCTAAAATGAAACAAGTCACTCCTCGTTTAAGGCATCCTCCGTGCTGGCTTTTGACACATCTTTGTGTGAAATTGACCATGACATTTATTACGCCAGACAAGTGGTATTCTCTAGGTCTGTGGGGGGGGTGCAGTGTACATGTGTGTATCTATGACATTTCAGCTTTCACCATGTTATACAACATAGTTAGCAGCTGAGATCTTCTACGCCAAGCTGCCAGACCAAGAACAGTATCCTCATGGCTCAACTTTATCTTTTCTGCTGCCTGGGGCTTCACCCCAACAGCTTCATTGGATGTACCAGTTCATTCCCCACACAACACACTCTACACTAAAGGTCAAGTTAATAAAAAAATAATATTGTGCCTGGCGGAGAGTTTATGAGAGCAGCATAAATTCAGATTGCCTTTCGGTATGGTTCAAGTTCGCTTTTAGAATCGATAATAATTTTGGTTTCGGAGTCGGAGCCCCACTTTATGGCTGATAATTTGATTTCCGCTTTATTTTTCATTTCCAGCTTATTGCCGGCTGAAACGTGCTGGAAATGCTAAAGCACAAATCGGAAAGCATATGCCAAAAAAAAAAACACGAGGAATTTTGGTTGGAATATAAAATTACCATTTTAAAGAACTCCCCGGAAATTGGGGTAAAGAAAGTGCTTTAATTTTTGAGGAATTCTATGCAGAAAATGCTTTAATTTTTTGCGGGGAAATCCATTAAAGTTCAGAGAAAAGTTTGCCAAAAAAAGAAAAAGAAAATGGCCTCTGTCGATTTCTCTCTAGATATACAGTTAGATGGGCAATTTCTTTGGCATGTTTTCGCCCAAATTTCCTTTGCTTATTTACATACATACTTGAGCAGATATGTGTGTGTTTTTGTGCGTGTGTGCGTGTGTTTGTTGTACCTAAGAAGTTTATTCCAACAAATGGAGGGCGCTGGTGGCAGGCATTCGCATAATGAAGAGGCAATCATGGGAGCTATTGCCGAGACTTTGCTGAAAGTTAAATTCAAGTAAACATTGGCTTGTGTGTTCAGGGGAAAATTGAAGAAAATCCGTATGCTAAAAGCGGTTGCCAGGCCGCACAACAAGCCTGACGAGCCCCAGAGCCAAGTGCGGACCAAGCTAATGAAACACTAATTGCGCCAACTCTTATATAATGGCGGGGCCCCTAACATCGCACCAATTAGGCGCCGGACATAAAGCATTGTTTATGGTCAGTGAATGGACGGATGGCTCTGAGTCCAGCCACGGGGGTCTCATATTTTTTATTGCTATCTCATATTTTTTTTTCGCTCCTCTTGGAAATGCATTTTACATGAGAGATTTATGTGCGAATGACAATGAAAAAAAAAAACTTTCTTGTCGGGTAACGTGGCCAGGATGTGTGTGTGTGTGTGTGTGTGTCTGTGCATGTCAAGGCTGTGATTGTTAGGCAGCCAGCAATTTGGCCAAATGCTCAGTCAGGCCTTGACCAGGCCGGGCCAAAGCTACAAGCGGCATCACGTGCGGTGAGTGTGTGTGTGTGTGTGTGTGTGTGTGTGCGTGTTTGCGCCACTTGTGTGTGCCCCAAAATACAAAAAAGAAAACGCAATGCAAGACAGCTGGTTTAATGAGCCGAAAGAAAATTGCCTTTTGGGTGTGTTGATACACCGGAAAAAAATTATACAAAAAATGGGGTTCAAAAAATAATATGCTAGAGCTTGATTCTAACCCTAGTATTGGCATTTTTTGAAAACATTTTAGGACAGCAAATATTACATCGATTACAGAATTAGAAAAAGTACAGGCTAGCATTGAATTCGGAAGATTTTGATGCTTTTGGAGACCAGTAAAATATATCGATTCTGATCAAAATTGGTTGCAGAATATTAGAAAGGACAATTCTGGTATTGGATTGGAGTTTTGCATTAGCCTCATAGCCAAAATTCGGTTAATAAAATGCTAGTTCTATGACCTTACTGATAGTCTGCTTAAAGCCATCTGTTGCTGATAAAACCACCGCTTCTGGACCCAACTATAAGACGCTCTGCAGCGTATAAACAAGAGCAGTTTTTACGATTCAGGGTCTCAGGGTACACATGGCTGAAAGTTAATTTATCTTCCCTCTGACACCTTTGGAGCAGTTCAAAAGAGATTTACTTCACTCCATATAATGGCCATTTGCCCCATTCAGCCATTCAGCCACTGTGCGAAAGCAGAGCTCCAAGAGCAGCAAAAGCTGTGTACTTAAACCGTATTTATCCCGGGGGATTGCCTGACCCCAAAGCGGGAACACTCACAGAGAGAGAGATAGAGAGGACTCTGAGCGTCAGTTTGTCTGCGGCTGTCTTGGAAACGAACCCAATCCCTGCTGCACTTGGATGCGCAGGCACGTTCAGTGCCATTAGTGTCAATTCGAGCGAGAATCTTCTAATGAATTCCCAGGCCGGGGGCAGGCCAACCAGAAGAGACGCAGACTCATACGATGAGATGAGACCGTGTAATATGTACAGAAAAGTTAATCCTCAATGGTTCATTAAACTATTGCAATGCTTAACCCCAATGCTTATCGGCTTAGCGATGGAAAATTGCCTTTATCTCGCGGTCCCAGACAAAGGCACTTCAACACGCGATTATGCGGCAAGGAGCAAAGGATATCTGCCTCCTGATTGCCTGCATAACGGCCACCCCCAAAGAGTTAATGCAGTTTTTGCGTTGTGTAACTTTGATTAAATCTCTGCAGCATTACGCATACGACACGTGTCCTGTTGCCCAGAACAGGCTGGGCAATCAATTTATATCCCAAAAAGCTGCCTGTCAATTTCGATAAGCTCTGCTTTCACAATTTAATCGAAAGTCTTGCCTGCCAAAAACATGCAAGTTTTTATTTTGTACTTTTCTTTTTCGCTTGAATGGAATTTGATGGGGGATCTGTGCCAGTGACAGTCGGGCTACTCAAGCAGTTGCGCCCAAAAGTTTCCAAGGACATTAAATTGTGCCTTTTATGGCACCCAACTTATTTCAAGAAGGTGTACATCAGGTGGACATAGATTGGGTTACTATCTGTTTAACTTTGGGAGCGAATTCTCATAACATTAAAGTGACGGGCTCCTTTCGCCCACACACATGTCGGCTCCTGTCACTTTGCATAGCCCCAGACACGCTCTGGGCGTTCATTGGGTGTAAAATAAACAGCGACGCCGTAATTACAATTCGATGGTAAAAATGTCAAAGGTCTTGTGTTGGTGAAAAGAACAAAAAAACAACAAAAGAAAATCAAAGACCAAAACAGGAAGTACAACAAACCGGAAGTGATGGCTGGAAAAGCTTTTGTGAAGAGTAGGAAAATAACAGCAAAAAACTTGGCCAACATGCAACAGTTGTGCATATGTGTGTGTGTGTGTGTGTGTGTGTTAGGCAGTTATTGGAAAAATACAGAAAAAACCGAATCAGCAAAAGAGGGAAAGTGGAAAAAGGGTAGTGGAAAATTCTAATTAAATGCCGCCAAGGCTGGATGAATGGGTTAAATGGGCTCCAACGCCTGCCCTCCTTTCAACTACGAAATAATGGAAATTTATGCCAGCCAGCCAGGCGAGGGGTGGTGATGGTAGCGGAAAGCACTCTTTCCATACCCAAAAAAAAAATGCAAATGTTAATTACAAGCGGCTGCCAAAATTAGAATTGTGCGCGTTTCAGCATGAGTAATATGCCTGGGCGGGATACGTAAATATATGTGTGTATGTATGTATGTATGTGTGCCTGGTAGTGGTAGTGGTAGTGGGAGTATGTATATGTGTGCGTGGGTGGGCTATGCTATTGCCATTTTGATGCTGGACAAATATCTTGACTTCTTTTGCATAAATTACCTTTTCGTAGATATTTTTGTTAGTATTTCGTTGTTAAATGTACAAAGATAAAGATACAGATACAGAGATAAAGATAAAGAGAAAGATATACGGAGAAAAGAGTTAGGTTTAGGAACAATTGAACGTGGCCAAAGCATGTAAGTATTTGAGTTATTTTCTGGCTCTGTTACTTTTATTTTTATTTTGTCTTTGGAGAGGCCCTAAAAAACATACATGGATCGTGGATTAATCACACCAGATACTTAGAGGTATATATATATATAGAGAAGGAAGGAATGAGTGTTAGGGGGCGTGTGTTTAGGAGGTGCTTGTGCAGTTTTGGCATAGTTACCCATGTTAAGTAAACGTGCGCCTGTCGGTATGCTATGGTTTCTGCCACGGCTCTTGCCTCAGCGACTGACTCTTTGTTGTTGTTGTTGTTGTTGTAAGTAGTTTTTTCTTGTTGTGGGGATTCTCTAGTTATTGTTTTACATTTTTGCTTTTACGTTGTTCTGATTGTTGTTGTTGCTGTTGTTGTTTGTTGTTTGCTGTGGCCTATTGTATTATTTACACAAGATTTACATAAATACGAGTACACGTACAAAGATTCACTTAGACGTACATATAAGCATGCTTCTCTATATTACAACTAGTTGTACATATACTATAAGGTTGTGGCATGCTAAAATTATATAACTCTGACGTTCAGAAATCCCGACTCGGATGTCATTGAAAGCTATCTTAAGAAAACACATTCAACTCTCACAGCCACAGCCAGAGCCAGAGCCATTCAGACACGTACTCGTAAAGTGAATAAAAGGAAAACCTTGACAGCCGTGCAACTGCAGACCAGACCCCGCTCTCAATGGTGGTCGGCCAGGCTAGGGGTCTTAGCCGTGCCATTGTGCCATCGCATCGATTCCACTCTCCACCTTCTTGACCCACTTTCCCCCCCCCCCGCACGTTACGCCTACCAATAACCTTTACGCTCAAGTCTAAGTAATTATTTCTGAGCCGAAATTCGGATTTGAATTTAATTTATGTAATTTTGAATAAACATCCTCCAGCAGGAGAGCTGCCAAGGCTTAAGCATGCTTTAAGCCTGATTGTGGCTTTTAATTAAGGCTGTGGCTTTAAGGCCATCTTCTCCAAGTGGCAGACGACCCCCAACAAGACCATGGGGGCGGTGGAGCGGCAGTGGCCGCAGGGAAGCTTGTTCTATTGATGTTTGACGAGTGGCAGCGGCTCGTTTGTTTGAACATGGCTCGACTTTTCATTGATTAAGTTCTTGAAATCGCTCAGAATTTCCATATATTTTCACTTTCACTCCGAGTCATAAATCAAAGTTGACGACTCAACCGCGACTCAGGCGCTGCACAAGGGATAGGGGATAGGGGATTTGAATAGTTTGCCCCAGATTAAGCACTGTTCACAGTTGAGCCGCTCACGGCCTTCACTTTGCTGTTTTGTGGGACATTCTTTGTAGTTATGCAATCCGCAATCAACGTTGTTTTTTTTTTCCTACTGCCACACAAAAGCCGAGCTCGTGAGTGGCAGCCTGACGTGAGTCACAAAGGCAACAAAAGTAGCAGCAATATCGGACGAACACACATGTGCGGCAGGCATCAAAACAAAGTCATTCCATAGAGGGGGGGAATTTCACGTTTCACCTGGAAAAGGACCTACAAAATGGCGCGCTCGGCCATCGGTTTCGAAGGGGGGGAACTCGTTGCGTTTTAATGAAATTCCGCATGGCATGAGTGCACTATTTCGATTCGATTTTCTTCAGTTTTTTTAATTACACCTGGGCCTGGGCCTGGGCCTGGGTCACGTTGCGGCGATCGATATCAATGATATTATTCAATTACGTACCGCAGAAAAACGCAATTAGAAAGTGCCAATGCAGTTGCGAAGGTGAAATTGTAATATAAATAAAAAAAATGGTTATAATGGAATGCTGCTGGTCGCACTTTTACACGCGCTCGCTTTTATGGCTGTTTTGTTTCGGTGTTGCCGCCCCTGCCCTGCCCTGCCCTGCCACACCATGAGAGTATTTTTGTCAAGGGTAACGTGCGGCAGCCCCACACACACACACGCACACTAGGAAAAAGAGGGGGCAAGAGAGAACGAGAGAGATATGAAAACATAGATAAAGCGGACACGAAATGCTTGTGGAGGCCGTGCCGAGAGTCCGACAGAGACGCTTCACGTTGTGTTATTTCGAACCGCGTGTCCACACACACACACACACCCAAAACACAGGCAGAGAATGCTGGTGGTGTGCGTGTGAGGCTCGTCAGACAGTCTCCGAGTAACCCAACATCGCTCCATCTTGTGTCGTCATCAACTCGGCCTCCCCCCGAGGCACACACCCACACACAGACACAAACGCGCTAGGATTCACCTGCCCCACCACATACGCACGCACACAGACAAAGTTCATTCAATAAAGCACACACACCAACACCAACACCAACACCCACACACACACACATACATGCACGTTGCGTGACGCTAGCGAGGATTTTTTCAGCGTTCAGCTTGAATTTTTTTGTTGACTTTTCCTAATCCGCACTAACGAGGCACACAGCTGAGAGGTCCGCACTTGACTGGGCCAGGAACGGCCAGCAGAGGCATCCCAAGCCCCCAGCTGTCATCGCGAGGGACCTGCGCAGTGCGCACTCCCCCAACCCCCCCCCGCGCCACACACATTCTGACAGTTGCTGCACTGAGAGAAAAAGTTGGATGGTTAACTTACGTTTCTCCACGGCGGTGACGATGAACTTGCACAGCACCTCCTGGTGGCGGTTCAGGCGATCCCTGGCTATGAGGACTGTCTTGAGCATATAGCCCATCATCAGGATCTCCACCTTGAGAATGGCAACGACATCGATGAGCTGACGCACATTCAGCCTTTCCAAGACTGCACGACCACCGACTATGCCGCTAGCCAGCTGGGCCATTCTGCCCTTCTTCTTATTCTTGCAGGATCTGAGAGGATGATCCTTGTCTCGACAGGTGCACCTGCGTCGAGCCAGCTCCTCTTGCTGGCCGTAAATGTCGCATAGCAATTTGTCGAGTAGCTTCTTGGTCTCACTGTTCGAATCGGGGTTATCGGGGCTGGAACTATGCTAATGATGGCCATGGCTCACCTCATTTCGCTGTCTTGCTGATAAAACTCAGCAGTTGGTTTTCTTTACTTGAAACTTTAGGGTTTTTTCTATTTATTTGTAAAGCGTTGGCTTTCTTTTTTTATAAAATATACACAGAAAAATATACACATAGAAATAGACACACAAAATAATTAACATAACAATCAAAGCAATTAAGTTTCCATGAAAGTTGTATATGGAAGTAGTTTAGGAAAATTCCTATTTCAAGATACAACTAAACCGATCACTATACGATTTTAGCTTTTAGGCGGTATAGATATTAAACGATATCAATAGGGTCATAGGCGGGAAGTAATTGAGGAAGGGAAAGATCGCACAAAAAAATTGGAACCCGAAATACTATTACAAAATGTAGCTCTATTTTTATTAGAGTACGACGTAGAAAGGTTCTTAAAACCCACGAAAATATGTTCAATTCATCCCATGGAAAATTCCGATAGCAACGCGTCACGTTGCGGCGTTATTCAAGAGTGCGTCAATTCTGCAGAATACGACAACAAGCCAGAGACCATCAATGTCAGCGCCAGAGCTCCATACAAGTGCGCAAAAACCTTATGGTACCCACGATTCAATGGCAGCTTAAAGGAGGAATGGAATCTGTGGAGACGTAAGAAGTCTCCTGCAGCAGGATGATCTTGATTCAATGCTGCAACGTGTTGAAATTCTTGCTGGATGAGCTGGCAAAGCTGAAATCCATGCAGGTACAGGCAAGCTTTATCTATAATAAAATTTCAATGGAGATGCTCAAGGAGTTGCTTCAAATTTTTGAGGGTTACAAGAAGCTCTCGTGATGCGAAGGGATATCAAAGGAGTGGCTTCTTGCGAATCGGAAGCTAATGAACACCCTAGTGAACATATGGACAATACATTACCTCCGGGGAAAACCTAGACTTGGCGAATTATACTGCCTGTTCTGAAGATGGTTTTTTTGAATATATAATAGAAGGAATTCCAGATATGAGAATGCCAAATGGGGCATCAGTTGGAACTGCATTTAGTGGTGTTTGTAGTGAGCTACAGAAGCCAAAAACAGATCAACAAAAAGCAGAGCAAGACCAACGAGTGGTCGAAAATACTACCTTACAATTGTCAACTGACCGTGGTCTGCCTTGAGTCAAAAAGGATGGAAAAATAATGCTTGTGATAATACTCGTATTGGACTCAGAGCCAAGGAGTGCTAGATGTGCTCCTATGCAGCGGCTCTCCGACATCTCAGAGATGTCTTCACTATGACAGATGACGTCCAGCTAATTGTGTTTTATGATACATATGATAAATGAAGAAACACCGAGTATGGCCATTTTATTTCCTTGTTACATACATATACGATTTTTAGGGATTTAAATAGTCGTTAAGTGATGTCTAAATGGTGTCCAAAGAAGGGGTAATGTACTGGTGTTTGGAGGTGTTTGCTGACTTAAGAACGGATTTAAACATTTTTAGAAAACCATAAAAGGATTGCTGACAAGCGGGAACAGCAACAAAAGTCTAGTAGAATGTGGCATCAATGTGGGTATTCAGGGAGAAGTTGCGGTACATGCCGAAGCGCGCCACCTCGTTGGAGAACTTCTGGCCGCGCGAATGGAAGCGCTTAGGTATGGTATAGACATTGGGGGCATAGTACCCGTACTCCGAGTTGCAAGTGCGGTACATGGTATTGGTGTCCGTCTCTACGCCATAGCCCTTGAAGCTGTCTGCGGAGAAGGAAAACGTCGCTGAAGGCTACCTCTTTGCTGGCAAAGGAGGAGCATACTTACAGGGACACTTGATATCCTCGCGCTTATGTAGATTCTCGTAGAGTTTGGCTGTCTGGACGACTGGCTTGCGTTTGAGAAACTTCTGGAACTCCACTTGGGGATTGAAGGTCTCCAAATCGTCGCAGGCAGGCTCACACATTTTGCCGACAGAGTTTGAGAAAATTTTACAATTATTTTGTGAAAACTGATGTAAGTCGACGACGTAAGTAAGTCCGACAATAAAGGATTTTATTGACCAAACGTACAACCGCCTCAGAGGTTGCTAAGTTTGAATCTGACAGCCAGTCAGCGGCTGCGCACTGGCCCCCACCGCTTTGACAGCCCCGAGTGACAGTTGAGGCTGGGCCAACCACCATATACACACTTCCCTTTCCCGACAAAGTGTTGTCAGAGCTTCCCAACTGAATCCACAAGATGTGCAAGCTATCGAATGTGCTCAACTTTATTATCTGCATAGCCAACTTTAGTCAAAGCTTCGATGGAGCCCTGGCCCTGAAGAGGGGACCCCACCATCCGCGAGGCGAGACCCGGCGCGTGGATCAGCATCTCACCCACGAAGAGCAGTGAGTGTGGCCACAGCTGCGGCAATGCGGATTCCCTATTCATTATTGGCTTTTCCCTTTCAGTCGCATCGACGATGATCTCAAGGAAATGGGCGTGCAGGCCAACCTGGACGACCTCAGCGAGGAAGAGAAGATATTCTATATGTTCAAGGTGGGGAAAACCAACTCACTAAAGCGTAGGTCATTCAAATGTTTCTGGCATTACAGGCCCACGACAATGACAATAATAACGCGCTGGATGGCCTGGAGATGATACAATCAGCCATGCATCACAACTACGACTACTTCAAGAACAGCGAGCGGGACGAGTACTTGCAGAATGCCACCGACGAACTAGAGCACTTTATAGGTAATAATAATCTGCCCGTATTTGAGATTATGGCCAATAAATTAGATGTTTTTATAACCACCACAGAGGCCATTGATAAGTTTCTGCTGATTGCCGACGGCAATAACGACGGGCTCCTGCACTACCCGGAGTTCGTGAAGGCCATATCCGGGGGCAAGGAGCAGCCGGGCCTGGACAGGAATCTGTTGCGCTAGAGGGAAGGGGCATCGCATCATCCGCAGTAGAAACAATAATAGTTGTAGACTAGTCAAATATATATTTAGCAACTAATTTCTGATTTCCAAGCTGAACCTTTTGAGACTGTACACCACAAGCCACCAGCCAAACTCGGTCACGGCCAGGCAATGCACTAACCTGCACTTCATTTGTACTGCAACATAATAAAATACATTTAAAGATAAACGTAAACACATAGTTAGGATCGAGTGGGATCTCAGAGGAGCCCGTCACAGGTTTGGGTGGTGTTGCAGGCCACTCCTCGATAGCCATCGTAGGCGGCGCGTTCCATCAGCACAATGAGATCGTTGTAGCGGGGCTTCCCTGAGGGTGCCCTGTGGATAGAACAATAAGTGGATGCTTTACGCAAGATAAATAGTGTGCCACATTACCCTTCGAACACTTCGATGGCCCCCAGAAGGGCGCGCCCCGCCTTGGCATACTCATAGGCGGCATTGGGGCAGGCGCAGGCCGCCGCATAGAGACACTCATCGCGACCGGCTCCCTGGGCGGCCAGGAAGCCCATTATCATGTAGTCATCACCCGATTCCAGGCCCAAGCCAAAGGCATTATCACTGCGTCCGGTGGAACGACCATAGCCATGGCCATAGCCACTCCAATGTCCTGCTCCGAGGATGCCAGCGGAAAAGATGAGCACCTTCAGCAGTATGATGATGAGCAAATTGGTGAGGTTCAGGCTGAGAACCTAACAGAGAACAAACCGAGAGATCAGTGGAGGGAAGCTGACAAGATGACGCCCTGATCACCCACTTGACTGTTGCCCGCGGAGCGGTGGAGAAGCTCCTTGGCCATCTGCATGACCACATGACCGGCGGGGCTGCCAAACATGCTCTGGACCTGCCGCAGCCAGCTCAGAGGTCTCTCCATCGTCAGCCCAGAACTGGGATTGTACTGGCCTTCGGTGCTGTTTCCTGACACTTCATTATCCATATCCAAGTCGTATATCTGCAGCTGTCTGCTGGCTGCTTCGCCCAGACCGAGGAAGCAGACTAGGCCCAGCAGCAAGACGGTGATCCGGTAATCCGAGCTTGGTTGCTGCATTTCGATGATCGCGTGCGTTTACCGACTGCTGTGATTTGTGACTAGTCTGGGCCTGGCCAAGCGCCTGGCTTTTATCCGTCGCCCATCTGCCCAAACTGCTGTTCCGCCTTGGCAGGCAGCAGATCGGCTCAGAGCTGAGCTGAGGCTCAGGTGCTGAGATCAGGCAATCATTTGGCAGGCATCGCTGCACCATAAAAACCGCTTGAGGCGCACAGGCGAGAGTGTTTTTCCTAGTGTCATTAGCCTGAAATTACCCACAGACGTTTTTCCGGCCCAAGGAGTAGTTCACCTTGATTGTCGCATCGCTTCCAGGAAAACTGTCTTTGCAAATGTCAATGCTAACGCAATTTGACAGGTAAACGCACGCGAAAATGGTGCGTGGAAATCGTGGAAATAGTGGGTGGACCGGAGAGTGGAAAACAATTTGTGTCTTTGCTTTTGTATCAATCATCAACTCATTTATTTGTTACTTTAATGCTTTTGTTTTTCCTAGCTGTTGTTGGAATAATTTATTGTATGTGTGTGTGTGTGTATATATAGACTTGCAATAAATTTTGTGAGTGCAACCATTCCATGGCATTGGGTGCCTGGAATGGGGCATGTTGATCATGGTTTTCATCAATTACAGACAACATATAAATACATATATCTTTGCTATACTTTCACAATAATTCGAGTATTTATTTGGTATAGTATTTTGCAACAGATTAGAAGTCGTGTAAGTTAGACGCGCTTTATGCTTGAGTATTTCCTTTGAATTTCAATTTTATATATATTTTTCAGCATTTTCGGCATTGGTTTTGTTATCGTTCGATTATGTACGAGTAGTTATTGGGTGTATTTGTGGGTTGGTGGGTGTGCCATGATACATATATGTTTGTCGAATGGATGCCTGTATTTATTTATGTACTGTCTGTTCTACATTTGTCGCTATAAATATATGTATGTACGAGTATGTTTTGTGAATATGTGCCAGTTCGATTACATATATTATTGATGATGTATACGGTTACGAAAAAGTACATGTAGCCAAAGATTCGCTTATAATTACATATATATATTTTTTTTGTATAATATATTTATAGATGATAGGATGATATATATGCGTAGAAGGGTGGTGGGCCGGGGGGAAATCAGTCCCCAATTTACTAACCCAAAACAATAGTTTATATTCTTGTAAATTTGTTTTTTTTTAGTTTAAAATGCTCTACTAAAATCGAAGATAGTTTAACAAATTTCTCGAGCTTACTTTGTGTATAATATATCCTTTAGTATATATGTTTTGTCTAGAGAGATAATTACAACCCAATTGAAATTATGGTTTCGATATTGAATTCGTCTATTATTTTATCTGTCAACAGAACACGTTTTGTATAATTGTCTATGGTATAAATAATGCTTTAACATGTGCGTAACAAAAGAACAAACAATCCTTGAAAACAATTTGTAGCTAAATCAAATCGAAGCTATTGTTTCCTTTGAATATATGTATGTTTAAAATATGACTTCGTTGACTTCATTCATTTAAATATTTATTTATGTATATTATCTAGATATTCTTCATCTTCAGCTTCTGCTCCCTGTACCGACTAAGCCCTATATAAATGTAGTTCCTGCGGGTGCCCGTGGATCCTTAGAGATTCGAATATGTTTGGTTCGTTATTGTTGCTGTTTCTAGCTTAACATTGCTTGTCCCTCCTGGTACATCGTCTCTCCCTCTGTAGCCCTCAGTGGCTATCCTCTGGTAAACATTAACTGCTAATAGATCATAATGATAATAATCATAATCGTAATACATATTTGTGGTTGGTTGGTTACCATAATAAACATTTAGTTTGTGTCTGTGTGTGTCTCTGTGTTTGGTATGTAACATTTGCTCATAGTAATTTCGGAATACATATAGTTCAATAACCGATTTATCCATTAGAATTATAACGCATTGTATTTTTAGAGTATTAGTATTAAACTTTTGCCTGTTTATCATCATACTCTTGCGCATATTGTCTTTTATGTTATTAGTTTTTGTTTGTTTGTTCGATATTATATCATGTCTCATGTTGGTATATTTAACAAATTCATTAATATTTCGATTAAAAGTTCTCCCATTAACATGTAATATATACGCTTGATTTAATATGTGTTGTGGGGGGATGGGGGGTATACCATATAATTCAATATTTGTCTCAATAATATATTTAATATACTATATATACTTTCATGATTTTGGAAAATCTTTCAAAATGTTTTAGGTATGATTTAATTAAATATGTTTAGGTTTATGCTGCAAAACCAGTCAAGTCATCTTTGCACATACATATAGTATATATATATCTATATGGGCTTTGCATTATTGTTGTTGCATTTGGTGGTTATAATTATAGATTAGTAGTGTACTACAGTGTCTACAGAGCTGCTCCTGCGGCTTCTTCCCTTCTCTTCTTGTATGGCAAATGAATTCTAGGGGTTTACAGTAAATATTCAGTAACAAGACACACATTGATAGTTAGATAGTTGAAAGGACAGTAACCCAATGGCTGATGCTGATGCTGTTGTAGGTGTATGTGTATGTTTAGTTTCGCTTGAAACCAGGAAACTTCAGAGGCAGAAACAGATCGATTTCCATAGTATAGGTATATGATAGGTGATAGATTTTTGTTAGAGTGCCCTTTAGATTCATTTCAAATCTATTTCATCATCATCTTCTCGAGCGGCACTCCAGCGCCTGGTGGCCGAGCCCATGCTGCTCACACTGCCCGTGTCGCTGAAGTCACTGAAGGCCGCATTCTGTATGCCCTCGTAGATCTTATAGCCGCTCGATCCAGAGCCAGCACCCACTCCGCTGGAGCTCATGCTCATGCTCTTGGCCGCGCCGAAACGATCCGTCTTGTAGTTCGAAGGAGGTCCCCCGAAAATCATGTCCGCATCAGAGATGGAGCCGGCGGCCCTGGTGAACTTGCCATTGCTGCTGGTCTTGGGATCCCCAAATATAATATCCAGATCCGACGACTTCGAGGCTGCAAGAATCGATAGGGCAGATTAGTGAAAAAGTCTATGGGTTTCTTGGGGTTTCGAGGTGCACATCAATTTGGCGGTGGGTGCAGTCTTGAGCACTTATCTTTAGGCACTACGTGAGCCAATCGCTTTACATAATTCTAGATACGAACTTGATTCGGGTGAATGAAGGATGAGCGTAGAATGAGTGTTACCAAAACAAATCTTATGAATGAGAGATGTGTGACCGAATGGGTATGAGAATGACACTGCCCTCAAGGGTACATAATTTCGATTCTAGGTTTTCAAAGACATCTTTTGATAACACACCCGCACACGAGGGACATACACACATTCGAACAGTAAACTCAAAATGGTTGCATTAACTACCAAAAATTTTGTTCAACTAGAAGCTTCGAGTACTCTTGACTTTTGTTGTGTTTTGTTGTTTTCTCTTGTTTGGGTTTCGATGCGTGCCCAGAAGCCGTACATGAACTCAAGTTATTGCGGTGCACTCTAGCGAGTTGTTGCTGTACGAGTACTGTACTGTTACCTGTCGGTAGTTGTTGTTGTTGTTGTCTGCTGTTGTTCTGTGTGCGTGTGCGTGTGCGTGTCGTGAGTGTGTTTGGGTGCGTGCAGGCAAGCGATAGCAGCACTGGGCGAGAGAGAGACTTACAAACACTGGGGCCGGCTCGCAGGTCGTATACGTAATATTTGGCTTACACTCTGAGAGAGAGGGAGTTGGCGTACTAGGAAAATCAAAACAGTTAGGCTAACAACCACCAACACATACAAATCAAAAACAAAACCAAAAAAAAACACCTATGTATTTGTCTGCTTTCGTTTTCGTCGCTTTTTGGCTACCGGCTGCCTACATGGCTATGAGTACTTATGTTAGTTGGTCTCTAAATGTACTATAGCGTACGATTATGTGGGTTTATACCTATATGGGGTGTAGCTGATTAGTACGATAATGAGATTAAATGACATGAGCGCATATGTAGGTAAGATATAGATATGAGAGTATAGTTATTTGCAGGACCAATGTCTGGATCTAGGTCTTGCGCAGCGTTAGGCTGACGAGGAGGACGCCCACGGCTAGATAATTACCATTGCTCTCGGAGCGCGTGTACGAGGGTCTGGTGTACGAGGGCAGATCGCTGGGATTGTTGTACTCCGCCTGCGAGGCAATCGAGTTCGAGTCGTAGCCGGACGTGTCCCCCGGCAGTGCTGTGGTGGTCACCGCCGCCGGTGCACTGTAGACGCTGGCCGAACGGATCCCAATGGCCGAGCGCCAATCGTTGGTGGTGGCCGAGGTGGTCATCGGTCCCACTGCAGTGGAAGGAGCTATTGCTCCGGCTCCTGCCCCTATGCCAGCGCTATTGCTGATGCTGGTGATGGCCGTGATGCCGCTGGCCTCGCCGGCGCCCGTGGCTGTGGCCGCCGTGTTTGTGGTGTTCGTGTCCATCCGCGTGATCGTCTCGATGGAGGTGGAGCTGCCGTAGTTGCCGTAGCTGGTCTTGTCCTTGCTGAGGGTGCTGCTGAAGCTGTTGCGATACCCACTGGAGCTGTTGGCATTGCTGTGGACCGTGGCGGCCACGGTGGGTGGCGGCGGTGGCGGGCCCGAGGGTGGGGGCGGCGACTTGATGCCGTTGCCATTGCGATTGATGCGCGACGAGATCGATGACGATGAGATCGACGAGGAGGATGAGGTGGTGTTGTTCGAGGCGGCGCCAGCGATGCTGGCCACGCTCGATGACTTGTGCGGCTCCTTGTCGAAGGGATTGACCCGTTCCTGTGGCTCAAAGTTGGTCACCGGCTTATAGCCGCCGGCGGCTTTATCCGTACTTGTATCCGAAGTTATGTTGACGCTATCCGAAACGCTGCTGCCGGGCTGGACGGCTGAGCTGGCCGCTGATGGCTCCTCCAGCGGACGGCTGGGCTGTGTGGAGATCACCTCCGTGCCGTTGCCGTTGCCGTTGCCAGACTTGCCGCCCGAGGCGAACGAGAACTGCTTGCCCAGGAAGGAGCCGCTGAAGCCGCTGCCTCCGCTGCTCCCTGGCCCGGCACTGGTGGGCACACTGCCCAGGCCGCTGCTTGTCTCGCTCGCCGTTCTGCCGCGCTTCTTATTAGCGATTTCCTACATGTCGCCAAATATCCCCGCGAACGTCTTCCTCAGGTTCTTCATCGTGTCCTCCGCATCCTCCACCACGGAGCTCTGGGTCTGCGGAGGACGTTGTCCCACCCTGGACACCGACGAGATGCTCGATGCCTGCGATGTCTGCGAGTCGCGTCGCACTCCTCCCACAGTGCTCGGCCCCGACGAGGACGGCTCCTCCGGCAGCTCGGATATGCTGCTGCGGCTGCTCAGCCGTCCAATGGATCCCACCGCTGGCGAGGTGCGCTCGGGTATGGGCGGTGGTCCGCCCATGGGCGCTGGCCGGGGTCCGGCTGGAAGTGGCGGTGTTGGGGCCATGCCATCGTCTGTGGGGCTCTCGGCCCGCGAGGACACCGACGAGCGGGAGGGCAGCCTGCCCGGTCCTGTCTGTGCCATGCTGGGCCGGCAAACGTTCTACGGGAGAAAAGGAGTTTGCTAAAGAGGATCTTTGGAGGCGGAAAAGGGCTGTGCGGGCCACCCACCTGCATGCGGCCCGACACCAGGTCGGCTATCTGCCTGCGGTCATCCTCCTGACTGTCGCCGATGAGCGCAAATGTGCTGTCGCAGGCACTGATGATGTACTCGCGTCCGTCTTTGGCCACGACCACGGAGAGACCACACACTTCCATGCCGCCAAAGAGCTCCGATATCTGTAAGTGATCCAATTGCATTAGTGATTAGAATTCCTGCCTGCGACTGAGTCATGCTCCCAAAATGTGGTTTCGATTTCATGCCCATGCCCCCAGAGGCTGGGTCCAGAGGCTGCTGTCGCTGCTGTCGCTGCTGTTCTGTGTTCTGCGTGGGCTTCCGCTGTTGGTTTTAATTACACAGTTTGTTTTGATTAAAACTGCTGCTGACTTGCCTAGAAAACTCATATCGACGTCGTCATCATCGGCCCGGCCCACCCACATATATAACCCTAAAACACTTCCCGCATGGGGCTGGGTTGTGCAACAAAATGGCATTAATTAATGCTCATATGCAGTGCCGGAAAGCGAATGAATCAGCCTCCGCTCCAAGGAAGCGCCGCTGAGCCATCTATGGGTATTGGATTTTGATGGCATACCTCAATCGATGGCATTTTCATGTACGAGCAGATACATAAATACCTCATCAAGCAATCGGATTGTTCAATTCCCGTTACCTCATAGCCCACACAGACACACACACACACAGACAGTCAGTGTTTGCGGCTAAAACCGTTTCAACTGTCTTGCGATTTGCATATTCATGAGCTCTAATTAAAGCGGCGCCGACACTCGAGGGCACATATAAACAGCCAACGACTGACGTCAGTCAAAGTAGACCCGAATCGTTCTCCTTTGCCACCCACCTTCACCACCCCCCCGCTGGGCAAATCAGACCACAGCCGAAATCACAAATTGTGCACCCAAAATGCCGCAAATAATGTAAAGCGATTTGCCCCAACTCCAGTCTCAGTCCCAGCCTCAGCCTCAGCATCAGCCATATTGATTGGCAAAATTTGATAAATGTGTGCAAAGGCTGAGCTGCTGCTTTGGAACTGATTTCCATGGCATGGCCCAGAATTGGAGGCTGTAACGGTAATGTGTTCTGGCCTATGGGGCACTGCAAAGGAGCCCAAATGGAGAATACCGACTGGAATGCCCTATATTTGTGTGCTTTAAAGTGGTTTTGGCATGTGTTACGTGCCTTTCTCATCGGCAGACATCATATAAGCGAAGAACAAAGTTCTAGTCTAAGCATTAAGACACTTCCTAGTGGTACAGTACCCACCAAAACGGTAGATCTACTTCTGTGTAAGTTTGAAATGAATTAATGAAAGGAGCAGAATATGTCTGGTTTCCATCTGCCCTACAGGTTCTATAAGGGAACCAGAAATAGCAGTCCTAGTCTCTCTCTTTTATATATCGTCGTCCGATATGTTGCTTCTATCGGCAAGAGTGAGCAATGCGAGTGAGCCGGGGGGCTCTACAATATAATTCTTATTACTCTTTGTACTTTGTACTAACCCTACTCTAGAGTACACCCAATTCGGTGAGGTATGCCCCAATATATTTTACTGTATGATTTAGTATCTCCAGAGATCTGGTTCGATGACTTACCTCATCCACCCAGGTTTTGTACTTCTCGGTTAAAGTGATTTGCTCCAGCATGGCGGAGCCTTGATTGGTCTTCCAATTGCCGGAGATGGATTTGCGCCTGTTAAAGAGCGAAAGCAAGCAAGCGTAATAAATTAGCATGCCACAAAAGAGCGTAGATAATTCGATGCCACACAAAGCTGAATTGGGGGAGAGGGAGAGAGACAGATCTTTGAACTCGTCGCATTTTCGTTGGCAAACAATGAACTTTTGCCGCTGCACTTGGTAGGATAATTGGCGATTGCATTGCGGCGGCTTTTGTCTGCTGACAGTTGCCGTTGAGCTCAAGGTCAATTGTCGGTCCAGGGAACAGCAGGCCACAGCAGGCCACAGCAGACCACTCGACCCATCTCGATCCGCAACCCATCATCATTGAGGCTTTCAGCATTCGGCATTCGGCATTCAGCATTGTGTGCGCCGTCTGCGGTTTTGTGGTCATCACTTACATAAATGCCTTGTAGTTGTTGCCAATCTTCTGGATGTGCACGCTGAACTTGGCATCGATGTAGGGCTCGATGGTGCAATAACAATGCGTTTCGTTGCCGGCACCGCTCACCAGTCCGGCGGCGTCTTGCAGGGCGCTCTGGTTCTCCAGCCGAGCGGTGGCCACTCCGCCATGACAATGTCCGGCCTTCAGCACGCTGGGGAACTTGGTGAATTGGAACTGCAATGAGGAAGAGTTCGAATGCAATCACAATTTGTGTCTCGCTCTGTCAGTGATTGTGATTGTGATTGGCATTATATAAATTACAATATGCCGATGCGATGCGATGAAACCCGGACCCATACCCATACCCAGACCCGTACCCGCTTCGATTCGATTTCTTTTGATTTTATTTGCTGCGGAAATCTGAGGGCGCACGTTCCAAGCTGCTTATTAATCTGTTGGATAAATGCCAAATTCATTTGTCTTTCTCGTATTTGTTTTTGCTCGATTTCCGACTCTGAATCTGGCCATGGAAATGGTCTTTCATTGCTCGCAAATTTCCACGAACCGGCCCTCTCATGCCTTTAACGTTACTCAGGGAAAATTCTTTCAAGTTATTAATGATCAGATTCTGAATTAAATACGAAAGAGAAACTACAAACAAGGCCCTGCCAACCATCTATTGAACAAATTCAACTGTTAATAATTCATCAGAATTGTCCACTGTCCATAATGTATTTGCACACAGATACTGTGTCGAATGTGTATGTAAGTCCACATGTTAATCATCTGACATATTTAAACAGCTGATAAATCATAAATAAACATATGGACTTTCCCTGCTTATAAAATTTAATGACATCAGAAGAGATAAACCAAGTAAAAGAGTACTTTCAAGATTCCGACTATAGGATACCCGCTTACCAGATATTTATTTATGGTTCCCCAAGTATATTATATTCCCCAAGATGATCGATCTAGTTGCAAAACCCTATTCTACAGAACCAAACAAACTCAAGTTATGTATAAAATATTTATGGCATTTGTAGAACAATTTCCTCTGCCTGTTTCTTGCATTCACAAGAACTTAACATACCCTTCTACTCTACGCGCAACGGGTATGGCAATGCAATCAAAAAAAATAAAATGAAGCTGGGAGGAAAACCATAACAAACCATGACGCAGAAACTGAAAGAAAGAGGAATTGTCGCAAACGATGAGAGACAATCGCGTTGACAGGAGGGATGGCAGCGAGAGCAAATCACTCAATGAATATCAGCATAAGAGCGAGATGGGGAGAGAGAGAGAGTGAAGGGAGCCTGGGGAGGACAGACGTCACACCCCCACATAGCAGGCATTCTTGGAAGCTGCTACGTATTCCGCTCGAGTGGTCGCTGTCTAGAGGTCTACTCTCGAGTTATATCAGCGGGCCTAAAATATGCACTGTGACGCATCCGATTCGGGTTGAGAGAGGGAGTGGGAGGGATATGGTGAGTGAGCGATATATGCATGTACGAGTACGTCTGTGCGTCTCGTAGTCGTATATGAGTATGTGGTGGCGTTAGCTAGTCGTGTATGCAGATTATGGCAACGTTTTGTAGGCGTACACCATGAAGCATGACCATGCCCATAGCATGGCAGAGCACGTGTGCGCCAGACTTACCCTACCCTCTCGAGGAAGTGGAAGTAAGCCGTATCGGTGTGCAAGTATAACTAAATTATTGGTTGATTTGTGGCCTGACAGATGCGCTATTTTGCTGCGGTTCCTCACTGTGGCGCCAAGCATATTTCCTATGCCATGCCCCGAGAGCATAAACCAGGCCGCTGCACGCAATTAATAAAGCTGCCAAGGTAAAATAATGCACAGAAATATGCAATCGACTCGGCCTCTTGCCGCTCTCTTTCACTCTCACTCGGTGCTCCTCTGCAGCGGCGTTTCACTCGTTTGCAATGAATTTATTACGCTTTTGATCGCCCGACAGCAGCTTATGCGGGGGACCAGAGCAAAAAAAAGCTCAAAAGCGATCGCTATCGCGCTCGTCTTGCTCTCGTGCTCCATGCTCGCGGCACCCGAGTGGGATCTTGAGTGGGATCGGGACTTCGGCCAAGACGAAGCGGTTGGCTTGACGATTCGTTGCTTCGTTGCTCTCTCTCGGACTTGAGTGGGATTGCGTTTGGTATTTGACTTTACTTTTTCCAATACCAAACGCAATCACAACTGAAAAAGCAGCGCAGCGAAGTGCTCCACCGGACAACCGCGCGGGTCCGAGTCCATACACCATCCACAATAAACCATATAAGATCAAGTGCAGTGGCAATTAAACGACGAGTCGTGAGAGTGCCAGTGAAAATAAATTCCCATTGGGTTAAAGTTGAAGACAAAAGCCCCAAAAGCTACAGTACGTGCAATTTTCCGAGACAAACAAGTTGCTGCTGCTCAAAGGTAAAAATAATTTAATTTTAGGCATTTTTTTTTTTTGCTTTTCTTTTTTTGTTGGGTTTTATCATGAAGCATTTGGCATTTAGAAGATACAAATTGAAGCTATGCAAAACGCGCGACAGCGGCGCGACAAACGCGCGTTTTTCTGGCTATTTAAAACGCGAGCGCGGGGAAATGTGGCGACGCGTCGCAGCATCACTGACACAGCGACACAGTTTTCCATGCCCCCGACACACACACACACACACGCACACGTATCTTTATATTTATTTGCGTTTATTTATAATTTGTTTTTATTTGCCTTCGTCAGAGTTTTCCCTCCTTCTTGGAGACGGCCTTTCGGCCGCCCGCCTGTCGATTTCTCTTAATAGTTTTTAATGTCGCCAATTTGTAAACAAACTGTGGCCATTAAAAAATATACATGCGGCTCGTTGTGCAATGTCGTCTGGTCGTAAAGCCCCCCGACTGGAGCTTCCCCGTAGCCGGACACCCACCGTGGCAGTGTTCTTTTGCAATTAATTTCAATTTTTTGTGGAAAAATTCATGAAAATATGATTGTGTCGATGAAACTTGACCGGCTATGGAGGATGTGTCTGTATTATATATGTACTCGTAGAACCCTTGTAAATGGAATTTGTTGGATGTCAAGGCGAGGCCTCTCTGGCTCTGTTTTGCGTGGGATATTTTCATGTTACGCATACGTCATGTGTGTTTTGGCATTGGCTTTTTAATGGCTAAAAATACCAAAATTCATAAAATATTTTAGAATTCTACAAATTGTATATGTTTATGACATTTTACTGCAAAAACACTATCAATTTGAACCAAAGAATCTTGTCTGTGGTGGAAAGTGCGTGAAAATGCATTTCAAGTGTCTTCCCCTTTCTTTTCTTCGACCCCCACACTCTTTTCGCATTCACGATTTTTCCTTCATTTGACTTTGCCTTTTATTGCCTTTTGTTTTTCTCGATTTTCTTGGAAATTTTCTTCCTCTGCCCTCCCACCCCATATACGAGTCTGGTAACAATTTCGTGCGAGTATTGTGCTACATTTTTTGCCTTGTTTTGTTTGCTCTTTTATTGCTCACAAAAGCCGTAACCGCAACAGCTGTTTGTGTGCCTGTGAATGAAAATGGAACCCGGTTAGTGGGCTAGCTGCTGCTCAGGTGTGAGTAGTGCGAGTATCTCAACGATTCCCAGAATGAAAACCCGATCAATGCGGTGGCTGGTGGCAGCTCTACTAAGATTTCGTATCGTTTCGTTTCGAGGAAAACCCGCAAAAGAAAACTTTTCCTTCGCACATCATTCGTTTCTCCCATATTTGGCCGCCGGTGCACTTAAGGCCCCCAAAAAAAGAGTCAGTCAGACATATACCCATATATAGTAGGGCTTCAGATACAGATACAAACGCGATTGTTTATTCCTTCACACTTGCCTGACTCTCGACACACCCACAGACGGCGATGGTTGGGCTTATCCTCCACATGCGACTCATGCGACCATTAATAATTTGCTTGTGCAACTTTTGCAATTTAATATTATTGTACAATTAAAAAGAAATGCAGGAGACAGTGACAGCCCCAGCCACAGGCCACAGCAGCGACAAAGAGTCTTTGGCGTGGTATGCCTTTCCATTAATAACTTTTCATCATCATCTTTGGGCCGCTTCGGGCTGCTTCTTCTGCATCTTACAAGTATTTTCCCGGCTGCTCTTGTTGTTCGGTTTTTTGCGTAAATTTCACAAGTCAGCCAGCAATTTATTGACGATGATTTCTTTTTAGTCTCCGTTCCTTGGATCTGTCACAGGGCCCAGACTCCCTCCCTTCCTCCTCCTCCTCCTCCTCCTCCTGTGTGTGTGTGTGGGCCATGGGCCGTCAATTTGTCTGATTGTCTGTCAGTTGTTTTGTTGTTTTCTTTAATTTCCTTAACAAGATCTGTCGCCCAAGGCACAAATTTGAATGGGACGGGGCTTGGAATGTTGGGCATTAAAATGAAAATAAATCACCACTCGACTCGGCCTGATGAAATATGATTCAATTTTGATGTGCAAAATGTTCTCATATCTGACATGAAATCAAATTGTTTCTCTTTTGAGGAGGGTACTTATAGGGAGGGGGTGTTATAGTGTTCCTGAACAGGCTGAAAAGGGGAAGGGATACAGATATTGTTTGGCTATTTCCAGTTTCAGAGCTATCTGGTGGGAACTTTTACAATACAATTTTGCAACAAAATTTATTCAAAACTGTGCTCTTAAACAGCTGTGTCAGGTCTCATATTACTGAGAATACTCAGAGGGGTTTCAGAACCTGCAAAGGTTCGTACTGCATTCGGATTTCCATGTAAATTGTACGTTCCATAATCTGAACAATTTCCGAAAAATGCATTCTTGATAAGTATTGATTTTTATGCAAATTCCGCAATTTGTTAAGGGAATGCCAGAAGACCACACAGAACTGCATTGTAGTCTGGGCTTTTTTTTCACAAATATTTTATATTTTGATGTCTCTATACTGTGGCCATGTGTGTGTGTGTGTGTGAATACATATGTTTATATAAATATGAAATGCCAAAGGCATTGGGTCTTGCTCATTAAAAATTTATGTTTTTTACGGACCGGCAAATGCAATGCGAGACGGGTCCGAGTCCGAATCTGAGCCGACCGGCCGGCGTCATGGTCCCTGAACCGGGCTTCCGACCTCTGCTGCAACCCGCCCCACCCCCGACCCCCGTTATTGGGGTTTTGTTTACTCGAAAGGCGCGACACATTAGCATTTTTAATTGAATCGTTGCCGCATCCTGGGGATCAAGAACCAAAGGCCTGCGAGGCGAAATTTTTAGAGCGTCTCTCTTCAATTGGGGATTTGCCGTGGGCGTGGGCGTGGGCGTAAAGTAAAGAGAAACCCTCTGCAGGAACGTGACGAATTTGGGTAGACACTGTTTCGGTTTTTTGGTATTTTTGCAAATTTTGTTTGCACAAGGAATGGCCCCTCGAATGGGCTGCGTAAGACTTATTTTCGGCATAATGATGCCATCACATCTCTCCCTGGCATACATGCATGTATCGTACATGTATGTACTTGTGCATGAATTAATGATGCATAAGCCCATAAACATTCCAAGCATTCCCCACCGTCCTACCAAACAGACCAGGTTTCGTCACACCTGAACAGAGCTGTCAGTCGCCGAGCGAATGCATCTCATCATGGGGCAAGTGGCAAGTGGTATTTGTAGTGGCATTTCCAGTGGCAGCTGCTGGCAATTCAATTAGCAGCAGCCGATAGGAGACACAGCCACATTCACTGGAGCGGCTCTTATCAGCTCCGATGCCGATTCGTATGTACACTTAATTATTTATGATTATTCCAGCACAGGTGTCTCTGTCTCTGAGTGCATGTAAATGCTAATGGTCGTCTAGAGGGTATCTTTATCTCCAGCTTGCAATGGGGGGGGGGGGAAAAACAAAACGTTGCGTGTCAAAGATCAAGATGCAGTCTGGAGACTGGAGACTGGTCAGGCACGTTGGGTCAGCGGGGGAGTCAGGCATTAATCAAAATACTCGACTCCTTTTGTTTGGGCCGCCATTGATCTGGCTGATTATGGCATTGCCCGATCGTGACTTTGATATTTTTCCCCTTAATTTTCTCTCATTGTTCGGTCCGACGGTTTGGCTGCCACAAAGCCATAAAGTCGCCGCCGGCCAAAGAAAGTTTTCCAGCAACGTTATGGAAATTGGCAAAAGTGCCAAAGTCGAACATGCAACCTCCTGGGAGCCAGCCATAGCCGCAACTCGGTTGCCAGGCAAACATTTACTTGATCTAGTTACCAGATACTTATCTTAAATTCATCTGATAAGCCACACACTCCCCCCCCCCCCCCCTATCACTCCCCCTCGCAGTCGTTGGGGAAGATGTGCAAGGTGACATCATCTTGGGCTGTAATATCGAACGAGCATGCCAAAGCCAAGCATTTCCAATACTGCGCAGTTGCTTTATGGGAATGTGATCCCATAACGAACCGAACCCAGAACCCATTCCCCATTCCCCATGCCATATTCCCCCTTCCAGACTGTTTAGAAAGTCAATCGGCAATGACAAACAAACAAAACAAAAAGCGAATTGCGACAAAGCGCAAAACCAAAAAGTAAATGACCGCTAAATATCAGAACATTATTGTACAACTCGACTGCTCTGTCACCCTCTAAACAAATGCGGTTTGCTTTGGCTTAAACGAATATCTCGAGAGGTGGGGGCCTGCAAATAATAGTTTTTCCAGAGATAATTAGTAGATGAGAAAGAAAATACACAAGGGATTAAGTTTTAATGTAAGAGATGCGGGTCTTTGTAGAACCAAAGGGTTCTAGAACCTCTAATACTCTTTTAAGTAGCTTGAAGTGTTCCATACTCAGAAGTGATCCAGTTTTATCATGAGAAATGGTAGTCTGGCTGTATCTTAAACTTGGTTTTATTAAAATTTATTGCTGGAAAGATGGTTATAATCGAACAGAGTCCAAATTCTAAAGAACCAAAGGGTTCTAGAACCTCTTATATTCGTATAAGTAGCTTTAAGTGTTCAATACTCAAAAGGGATTATGTTCTATCGTGGAAAATGATAGTCTGGTTGTATCTTAAACTTAGTTTTATTAAAATTTGTAGCTGAATAGATGGATATAATAGAACAGACTCCAAATGCTAAAGAACCAAAGGGTTATAGAAGCTCTAACACTCGTATATGTAGCTGAAAGTGTTCAATTATCAGAAGTGATTAAGTTTTAAGGTGAAAGATGCAAGTCTTTAGCTTAGTTTAACGAAAATTTGTAGGTGGATCGATCTAGAACCTCTTATACTCGTATAAGTAGCTTAAAATGCTCAATACTCAGGATTAATAAAATTCAATCGTGGAAGATGCTGGGCTGACTGTATCTTAAACTTAGTCTTACTAAAATTTGTAGCTGGAATCGAGCACAGTCCAAATGCTAGAGCACCAAAAGGTTCTAGAACCCCATAGACAGCCAGTACTGTTCAAGTATCATGCTACATACATATACTCGTCTTGTAAGTGGTGCCTATAGAGTGCTCTTCAAATAGAGGGTACTATAAACTGAGCTTTAGAAAGCCGATACCCAAAGTGCTAATTAGACGCATATTTTGTAGGCCTAAGGCTATGCCCCCCCACCCTCCCCTTTGGTAGGCGCAAAATATCGAGCATCGTAAATTGAAGTGCAGTGAAAATGGAGAATCCGAATGCTATAAATACCATTTTTATACCGATGCATTTCCACCACCCCCCATTGTCCACACACACATTGGGCGGACATTAGGGCCCATTTATGGGCCCAATTAAGTGCTCATAAAACAAACATCGCAGCGCTGCAGTGCTCCTCCGCTGCTGATCCGCTTTTAGCTCAGTTTTGGGAAAACACCCAAACGGCAGGCAAACCAGAATCGCATTAATTATGTGGCTTTGCTTTGCGAGCCGTTTTTGGCGCATTTTGGCCCGGGTTTCGGGTCTTAGGTCTCGGCCACGGCTAGCCACCCGACCATGAAACCGCAGCCTGGCCGAAAGGCGCTTTCTGTGTTTTGCCTCTTATTTACGTTTCTGTGGCCCTTTTCATGTCCGAGCTTAGTGAATCCTTTTGAATACACCTGGGAAAATCACCTCCACCTGTCCGTCTGTCTGTGGGTCTGCCTGGCAAGTGTTAATAATCATTAAATTTGCATATTTTTGTGCTTGCCTCACGAAACAGTAGACACGATTCAAAGGCATAATTTATGCACGGCAAATATTGTCCCGGAATTGGGTTGGAATATTTATTTAAAGAAATGCTAAATGGATTTGTCGTTGGTGAACCTTTTCTCATAATTGGGAATTATGATTGTTACGCTTAAATTATTTCAAAGGGTGTTCCAAGACCTAACGAGAATACTCTCTACCACAAGGGTGTTCCCGAAATATTTCTCTGCCTGTAACTGGCATTCTTGAAGTGCCCTGAGAGTGGAAATCAATGCTAATTGAACTCGAGCTTAATATCTTTCGAAATTGTTGTCTCTCTGGTGCTGCTCGCCCGCATAATTGGCTGACAGTCGCTTGATATTGTAACCGACTGACAATCACACTAGTGTCAAAAGTCAACATCGATGATGATGATGATGACGACACACAGTCAGGGGCAGTAGCAGGGGCAGTAGCAGGGGCAGTAGCAGGGGCAGTGGCAGTGGCAGGGGCAGTGCCAGTGGCAGTCCGTGAAAACAAGTGTGTCAATTAGACGAGGCGCAAAGTGACGTCAAAGTGGTGGCAACAACTGCAGGGGATAAAAGATTTTCGTGCGAGTGTATATGGATGTGAATGTGGATACCGTGTGCCATAATATATAACATTTAATTGACACGTGTAAAGCTTGTCAACAAACACCGGGAGCCGGTCCCCGCAACAGCCGACAAAACAAAAGTTTGCTGACAGGCAGCCCCATGTCGCCTGCTGCTGGCTTAAAACTACATTTGCCTGCCTGATATATGGCCACGCTAATTGTGTATTCAGATATCACTGCATATATAAATAAAGACATAGACATGGACTCGACGAAAAAAAAGAGCTCAAAAGGAAATCGTGCGAATTTCGAACGCCTCTAAAACGCTTTTCTTGCCGCCAATCCAATTGGCTCTCGGGCGGGTGATTTATCGGCCCAAACGCCGATGACGTTTTCAATGTGTGTGCTGTGTGCTGTGCCACTTTTTGTTGCTGCTCCGCTGCGATGAATGCCCCGCTTGTTTGTTTGTTTGTTGTCACTCTCGTCGTTGTCGTAGGTATTAGTGCCCGGCTGCCTTGTCGGGCTGTTTGTTAAACAAATCCGCGCCGTTAATTGCCAGGCAAAGTGTCCGGGCCGAAAAGGGGGCGAAACTTTCCTTCCACGAAAATATGGTATTCTCCCATGGCATTGCGACACCGACACCGGCACCTCCAACGACCTCTGCTCCAGTTTATCCCATTAGGCAGTGCGCGCGTCTGCCTGTCTGGCGGCCGCCGTTTGGCCTGCCACTTAATAAATATGGTCTGATGCATTATGCCTGCCTCGCTGCATTCAATCAATGGCCCGGCAGCCCTCTCTATTGCCTCCTCCCCCCTCTCCACGGCTCTCTCTGATCGATTCACGCATGCAACTTCTTCGCTGGTGCCCCATGCCCCAAGCTAGACGACTCCTCTGTGTGCGTACGTTTTCTAGTGGCTTTTCCGCAAAATGCTTTTAATTCAATTTTATTTCAATTTAATTGCCACATTGCCGAGCTACTGGGAATGGGGGGATGGGCGGATGGGGAACGGGAGGGCACACTGCTGCATATGGCTGGCCTGCATATGGCTATATGCATATAAGCAATGCGACCTGCCTATCTCTGTCGATCAGTGGCGACGCTGACTGGAACGGGAGCTGCAGCTGATTATTTTGCCTCAGTCTTTGCCCCTGCCTTTGCCTCTGCCTTTGCCCCTGCCTTTGCCCCTGCCTTTGCCCCTGCCTTTGCCACTGCCTCTGCCTTTGCCACTCTCGATATTATACAATATTTTTGCGTTAATATATATGTATGGTACGTACGGGTAAGGCATATCGGCAGCCGTTTTGTAATGGATTTCGATTTGTGGTTCTCAAGTTTTTCTATGAATTTCCCATAAACAATTTTCAATTGAAATGCTCTGGCAATTGAACTACTTTTCGTAGGATTTATGCCTTCTAAATTGACTGACGGAATTGGCTTTGCGTAAGTCGCAAGTAAAATATTGATGAAAAGAGAATAAAGCTGAGGGGGGGCGGACAGCCCGCGAGGAGTGTCTGAAAGACAGTCAAGTGCTTTAGCCATAATGCTCTTGATGATCCGCCCCTGAAGCGTGCGTGTCTCTGACAGAAGTCGCGATTAATTGCTGTCACACAGAGGGTCTATAGGGTGTATGGGGTGTATAGGGTGTGTGTGTGTGTGTGTTATATATTATATGCATAATTAAGCATTGCATTGATGGCTTGATTGATGGACGGCTTGCTTTCGCCTGGCCTCCTTCTCAGCCCCATCGTGCTGATAACCCACACACACTTCTGAATGGCATAAGTAAGACAGACTTAATTAAACTTTCTGCGACCTTCAGCCTGATAATCATTGCACATACATATGTGTACGCACGTACGTACGTTCTCCCATTAAAACATTGTCGTCATCGTAAAAAGTAATCTCAATTTTCCTCTTTTTTCCAGCTTGGGGGACTCACTGAGAACGCCATTAAGTAATTTTATCTGCTGCCTGGCAGTGGAGACGTAGCGGAGGAGCAAAGCTTTCGAAGCCATGGATTTCAGAAAATATTTAGGTTTATTGGCTCTCGTCCTGCTGGCTGTTCTGACGCTCAACGGTCGCCCAGTAGATGCCTGCTCCTGCATGCCCTCGCACCCACAGACGCACTTCTGCAAGGCCGACTATGGTGAGTCAGCCCCCAGCGAAGGGGCCAATCCTTGGGGAATTCGATAAGTAAATGCCTGCATTTCTTTGACAGTTGTGCAGCTGCGAGTGCTGCGCAAATCGGACACCATCGATCCGGGCAAGACCACCTACAAGGTGCACATCAAGCGCACTTACAAGGCAAGTCCTGTGGCATTGACATTTCTCTGGCGGTTAGAACGTAACGTAACCCAATACTCTTGCTCTAGGCCACTCCCGAGGCACGTCGCATGCTGCGCGATGGACGTTTGGCCACGCCCAACAGTGACTCCATGTGTGGCATCAGGCTGGACCTCGGCAAAGTCTACATCATCGCGGGACGCATGCCCACGCTGAACGTGTGCAGCTACTACAAGGAGTACACCAAGATGACCATCACCGAGCGCCACGGATTCAGCGGCGGCTACGGCAAGAGCTGCAATTGCACCGTGAGTATCTGCCCACGGGGGGATCTGTGGTTCGAGCTAACTGGTTCCCCTTCCCTCCCACCCCCACAAAAGGTATCACCCTGCTTTGGCCAGCAGTGCCTGCGACATCGAGAGTACTCCGATGGCTGCAAGTGGTCGCCGTTCGGCAAGTGCGAGCGCGACTACAGCGCCTGCATGCCCCATGTGACGCACACGGTGAACGGCAGCATCTCCCGGTGCCGCTGGCGGCGCACGCAACTCTACAGAAAGTGCCTCAGCAATCCGTAGGCGGATAGGGCGCCCCCAATCCCCCTAATCCTTGTTATGCTACCGTTTCTCTCTGTCCAGAGCTTTAATACGTACGTTATGCCTAATGTGTTATTTATTAATTGATGCTTTTGAAATGTAACCGAGCTTCGAACAGCTACTTAATTAGTGTCTAGCTTTTAATGTTTATCGTTTATACCGTGTACACTTACCAAATCGCGTGGATTCGGGAAGAAGGTCTGCTCGATCAGTGGGAAGCCGTCGCGGCCCAGACGCCGCTGCAGCTGCAGCAGATGCGAGAACACCCAGGGTTTGTCCTACAACCAAAACAGAACAGAATATCAGTTTCCATCACTCCGAGTTTCGGTTTCGATTTTACGACTCACCTGAAACTGGTAGATCGAATGCAGCGAATTGATACTGGGCACTCCGCCGTACTTGAGTCCGAGAATGGTGGAACGGAAGTCACTGGAACCGTCACGCGGCGGCTGGCGTATCAACACGAAGTCCGGCCGAAAGGAGCGCGCAACCTGTTTGTTGGTGTGATATTCCAAAATGAATAAATAAACAAAAGGGAATTTAATTAGATTATAGAACGCTACATGCAAAACGATCGAAACACACACTTTTTTGTAATTTTTTAATTGGAAAATATATGAATAAAAAGAATTTCATTTAGAGATATTGTTGGATTAGCAGAAAACCATTTGGACTTTAATTTGCTAGTAAACTGATAGATACTCGTACATCTAGATAACTCGGGATCTATTCATTCAGTAAAATAACATTTGACAATTCTTGTTGATCAAAGAAAATAGTTCAAACTCTGATAGAATGGTCGATAAATTCTTGTCCTATCGATCGGCAGTAAGTTCATCAAATGACCGCTGATATCTGTGGCGGCGCCCCAGCAGCCGTTGAGTAGACATGTAAAAAGCATGTAGAATCTGTATTTCTAGGTGTCTCCCGAACATGTAATGTACAAATGTCAAGTGGCGATTACTCGTGAGGTGAGATATCGTAAAGTATCGTTATTTAAATACAGAAAGTCTTGGATGTCTACTGTCCATTGCAGATCAACCAAAAATTCTCGTCAAAACTATGTCAAAAGAGTTATTTGTAATAGATCTTGCCCCTTCTGAATGTGTTGTGACTTAATCGCTTCCGTTTTGGGTGTAAAAGAGATCGCTGTCAAAGAAGTAGTTTTGGTGCTTTTGGGGCCAAACAGTCCACGCACACATCAACCATTTGGGACGATTTAGGCCAGATCTTTGAGAGTTCTGTAACAAATGTGAAGGTGCTTGAATATCTGCACTTTATGGGCTCGGAGATGCCTATTTCTATGCGTTTCCAGCTTCTGACTAATTTTCATATACCCCTTCAAGGGACCTGCAAATAGCTGTCTTATTGATATGTTTAGTAATAAATATCTACAAAACATTGATCCAGTATACTCGTTAGATACGCATTATTTACTGCATTTGAATACGTTTCTATATATCTACGCTGCTTATCGCAATATCCCGGCCGACCCCCAAGTGCGTCGCAGTTGTGCCACAAGTGTTTTTTTTAGTGCCATTGAGATGCGCCATCGTTGAGCCAACAAAAGAACGACTCGAGAATAAATAGTGAAAAATAGAGCGCCAGAGTGTCGAGAGCTCAGAGCTGGACAAACAGCGAGACAATGGCAGTTGATAGACTGGCAACGCTTAAGTAGTGGTCGGACGATGGATTAATCCCGCTGCTGCCTGGCCACCGAAGTCCTTGAGCCACACAACCGCACGGCTTATATATGTAGTCCTGGTGGAAATACAGACGACAGAGGACAGATGACAGCCTGGCGGGCAATAAACGCACAAACGGATAACTAAGGACTAAAGCGACTGGCCATTGCACTAATTAACCGCAAACAGGCCAGGCGCCAAGGATAACTTACCCGAGTGCCGCTGCGGTAGGCGGCCATGGTGACTACCGGTCCGGTATCGGCGCTGGAGACCACCGTAATGTCCTGCGGAAGCACACGGAGACACAGACAAACACGAACAAGGATTATGCCGATTACCGAAGTGGTCCCTTAGGCGCCGCAGCTTACCCTGAACTCGGCCTGCTCCACGCGTATATCGAAATCGCCGTGCAGCCGCTTGCCCCGGAAGTACTTGGACCAGTCCGTGTTCTGGTCATCCAGCACCAGGAGCGTGAAGTACTTATCCTTGTTGAAGGCCGGTGTCCGTTGTGTGGCGCTCTGGACAGCAGCTCCTGTTGGGAAGAGATTATATGCCAGAACATGGACCAGGGACTTCAATCTACAGAATTTTGCCAGATCATACCCAGTATGGAGGCGCCCTGATCTCGGGCGGCACCCGTCAGGCTCTGCACTCGCTGCAGCAGGCTCTCGCGCGACTTGGCCGGACTGGTGGGGGCACTGACACCACGCGGTGGTGCCGGAGCCGCTGTTGTCGGCGCCTTGCCGGCCCCGAAGCTCAGCGACAGCTCCGGAGCGGCTCCAGCCGGTTGCCCCGGTGCCGGCGGAGGTGGCATATTGGGTGGCCCGCCGCCGACCGGCACCGGCGGCTTCGTGGGCTGGTCCTGGATGGGACGAGCCGCTGGCGGCAAGCTATTGGGATCGACATCGTCGACCTCGGAAGACAAGTCTCCCGAGCTGAATCTGCGCATCATCGTGTGTGGGGTGGAATGCATTATTGGTTGGGTGGGTGGGTGTGTGGTTGGGTGGTGATTGATTGATTGATCGCCGGACGAGTGGACAAGTCAAATTGTGCAGCGCAGTTGAGTGGTTGGGCAAAAGAGTACGTAAACGAGAACATACAAAGTTCCACAAGAGAGAGACAGAGAGAGAGAGAGAGAGCGATATGGAGAAAGAGAGAGAGAGAGAGATGGGGAAAGAATAGACAAACATATGAAATTTCAAATTAGTTTCGTTCATCGGAGCCCCGCCCGCCCCAAGCAGGAACTAGCACTTGGGACTGGGGGCACTTCCATTTTAAGGTCTTTACCTTCTCTTCAGGAAATTAACATTGGAAGTGAAGCTAGTTTTGAACGATGAGAAATTCAGGGTGCTGCTTTTCGCTTCCTTCGAGTTGCGGCACGCCGAAAAAAAGGGGAAATACAAAGTAGATTTTATTGCTACGTTTTCGGTTTCACTTAACGCATAACAATTAGCTAGAGTGCTTTCAATTTTGGCATTCACTTAACGATTTCCCGAATTAATAGTGCATAGACATTGATCGTACTTCAAGGCATAAAGTTATTTAAAGCGTCACATATTTAAACATAAAAATAAAGCCACTTAAACACACATATGTAGTATCTGTCTAGCTAGCTGTCTAACTGTTTCTCATCTGGTTTCTAGCAAAGGATTTCCCACCTGAGATGGGAGAAGTTTCTGGCTTGAGTTTCAGCGTGGTCCACGCGGCGTATGCGCAATGCGGCCACTTCGAATGTGAATTTTCACAGTGAAAGATGGTAAAAATCGTAAAAAATCATCACAAAGTGCGGCAATTATGTTTGCCCTCTGCAATGGACTGGCAGTTAAACCCATTTCAAATTTCATATGTCAGCTGGTTAGGATAACGATTAGTATTTTTGATCATGTTTTTGTATTTAATGAACTCTCTAATGCTGTCGTCTGCAGCTTCGTTTCACTTACAGAACTGCCCGGAGCAATGGGTTAAGTAGACCATGAAATTGCAAAAAAGTTGCTTTTGCTAATTGGAAAATGCTGTGAATGAGTGGCAGAGTCAAAGAACGGACGGAGGTACAGGTGGTTGGTGAGTGAAAACTAAAAATCCATTTTAAAAGTTGCAATTAGAAAAGATTAAACAAAAAGTTAATTAAATTATGCGACCACTGCGAGCAGAAAATAAAAATAAATGGCACATGGGAATGGGAGAATGAGCTGGAAGTTGGGGGGTGGAGTAAGCTCTTGCAACAGGTGCACCAGCCAAGGACACTTTGAGGACAATGGCCGGCAAGTGCAAATGCAAAGCTTCGACGGCAAACAGCAGTCACTAAAAAACAGCCATTATATTGCCAAGAGTCCTTTGTGCGGCGCAAAGCAACGAAAATCAATTCCAGCCAAGGATGGGGCTACGGTTGGGTGCTGGGTGGAGGCCTTAGGTGCCCTGTCAACAGTGTCAGACACTTGTAGACCAGAATGTCGCACAACGTCATCGTGTATTTTGTGGATTTATTGTCGAGGCCCGGGGGCCTCTACAGGCACTTGAAACTTTTCAGCCCGACATCAGGGGGTTCGGGGGCACGTGCCACACAGAGTCATGCCCGCGGGCACAATTTGGAATTATGCGTGTGGTGCTTCTCATTTGATTGAAGTTTCGTGCGGCCGCTTTAAAAAACATATAAAACATAATGGAAAACTTAAAATTTGAGCCAAGGCGAAGCAGGGGCAGGTGAAGATATGGTACGGTGACGGATACGTGTGACAGCCAAGCTTTTGGTGAGTTGGTGAGTTAGAGTTATACATAGTTAGAGGGCGGTGGGTGGCTAGTCTTACCGGTGGCGGGGCGCAGATTCGCCCACACCCAGCAGTTGCAATGGCGCTAATATTGACAGTGGTCGACAATGGAGTCGAACAGTGGGCCTCGGATGCTCGCTGAAGGTCGGATTCGCTTTCCTAAAGAACCTTTTATGCTTGCTGTTCAAATCTGAAATGAAAGCGGGGGAGAATACATAAAAAAAAGGGTTGAAAACTTCTGTGAGACTTGAAGCCCGATTGTCGTGCTGAAAACTATCACAAAACAAACGGACCGAACAACAAAGAGCGGAGAAGCCCGGCTATCAGACTGCTGTCCAACCAACTGGACGAGTGACTGACTGACTGACTGGCTGACTGGCTGCCATCTCTAGGGACAACTGGCTGTCGCCTTTGTGGCTGGCAGCAACTGGATGGCAAGCCAAAGATTGTTTTTGGTTCATTGCACTGACACTGGCCGCTAACTAGGACAAAGCAGAGCGGCAGGGATCCGACTACCCAACTGTATGTAAATAAATGTGGTCCCTGGCAGCTCCCTAAGTAACACCTAAACAAATCATCATACTCCCACCACCCCAGCTACAGAAGTGTGCGAAAATTGCGTTAATATGTCCCAGGGCACATCAGAAGTGCCTGCTACAAAAATCTCTAAAATATGTAT